GAGATTAAAAGGAAGTAACAAACAAAGGGGTTATCCAGAAGAGAGAAATGAAAATGGTAATATTTGTTACATCACATCACATTACATTCTTCTTGAGTTTCTAGCGACTTCCCGTCACCCCATCATGTATCTACCACTTAGTCTATCTAGCGCACTGTTCATTTTCATTTTCTTTTGTTAATTTTCATCAACATTATATTCTCTTATAATTATCCATCATACCACAGAAGTCATTCTAGGCCAGCCACTGACGTCATGTTTCCCTAGTAAATTTTTGATCAGTGTGACTTCTGTTTTTCTGTCATTTTTGCCAACTTGGCATATTCTAACAGTTTACTTTGCCACCAGCAAAGAAAAGCGAGGCAGAAAAGACGGGCGGACCAAAGGCAGTGGAAGCAACTTTTTCACTCTCTATCCCCCCCCCCAAAAAAACCCCTATGGGGTGTTGGAGCCTGGGGGGGTGTGTATATGCTCAAAGACACGCCTTCCCTGCATGCAATTCCAGTTACAGAGCTATGAAAAGAGAAAAGGGAGCTGCCTGTGGGGCGAAAGGGTGGCCTGCACTGCAGGGCTGCTGTGACCCCCCTACCGCCACCCCACCTCTCAGCCACATGCACCAAGCTGCCTTAGGGGCACAATGAGAGTGGACTACACCATGTGGCTGTTGTAGACTCTTCTCAGCCACCATCCTCCTCCATGCAGCAATAGAGCATCATAATACAAGTGGTCTACACAACAGGGTTGTTCTATGTTACTCCCTCAGCCTGCCCACTGTGCAGTATAGAGAGCAAGTCTACGGCAGGGCTGTTGGAGTCCACTGTCACCCTCTGCACCTTAAAAAAAAAAGAGCTGAATAAAAAAATACAAAGTAAAAGGCAAGTTAGGAAGAAAAGCAGGGTTTGACTTGATTTAATATTTGTATTTCGCTCATCTGAAAACAAATGTTGAGCTCAAAGTGTTTCACAATAATCACAAACAGCATTATTGAATCATAGAATCATAGAATCATAGAGTTGGAAGAGACCACAAGGGCCATCGAGTCCAACCCCCTGCCAAGCAGGAAACACCATCAGAGCACTCCTGACATATGGTTGTCAAGCCTCTGCTTAAAGACCTCCAAAGAAGGAGACTCCACCACACTCCTTGGCAGCAAATTCCACTGTCGAACAGCTCTTACTGTCAGGAAGTTCTTCCTAATGTTTAGGTGGAATCTTCTTTCTTGTCGTTTGGATCCATTGCTCCGTGTCTGCTTCTCTGGAGCAGCAGAAAACAACCTTTCTCCCTCCTCTATGTGACATCCTTTTCTATATTTGAACATGGCTATCATATCACCCCTTAACCTCCTCTTCTCCAGGCTAAACATGCCCAGCTCCCTTAGCCGTTCCTCATAAGGCATCGTTTCCAGGCCTTTGACCATTTTGGTTGCCCTCCTCTGGACACGTTCCAGTTTGTCAGTGTCCTTCTTGAACTGTGGTGCCCAGAACTGGACACAGTACTCCAGGTGAGGTCTGACCAGAGCAGAATACAGTGGCACTATTACTTCCCTTGATCTAGATGCTATACTCCTATTGATGCAGCCCAGAATTGCATTGGCTTTTTTAGCTGCCGCGTCACAGTGTTGGCTCATGTCAAGTTTGTGGTCAACCAAGACTCCTAGATCCTTTTCACATGTACTGCTCTCAAGCCAGGTGTCACCCATCTTGTATTTGTGCCTCTCATTTTTTTTGCCCTAGTGCAATTCTTTACATTTCTCCCTGTTAAAATTCATCTTGTTTGTTTTTGCCCAGTTCTTTAATCTGTCAAGGTCGTTTTGAAGTGTGATCCTGTCCTCTGGGGTGTTAGCCACCCCTCCCAGTTTGGTGTCATCTGCAAATTTGATCAGGATGCCCTTGATTCCATCATTCAAGTCGTTGATAAAGATGTTGAATAAGACCGGGCCCAAGACAGAACCCTGTGGCACCCCACTAGTCACTCTTCTCCAGGATGAAGAGGAACCATTGATGAGCACCCTTTGGGTTCGGTCAGTCAGCCAGTTACAAATCCACTGAGTGGTAGCATAGTCAAGACCGCATTTTACCAGCTTCTTTACAAGAATATCATGGGGCACCTTGTCAAATGCCTTGCTGAAATCAAGGTAGGCTACATCCACTGCGTTCCCTTCATCTACCAGGCTTGTAATTCTGTCAAAAACGAGATCAGGTTAGTCTGACATGACTTATTTTTCAGAAATCCATGCTGACTATTGGTGATCACAGCATTCCTTTCTAGGTGCTCACAGACTGTTTGCTTAATGATCTGCTCCAGAATCTTCCCTGGTATTGATGTCAGACTGACTGGGCGGTAATTATTTGGGTCCTCTTTTTCCCCCTTTTTGAAAATAGGGACAACATTTGCCCTCCTCCAGTCTGCCGGGACTTCACCTGTTCTCCAGGAATTCTCAAAGATGACTGCCAGTGGTTCTGAGATCACATCTGCCAGTTCTTTTAATACTCTTGGATGCAGTTCATCTGGCCCTGGAGACTTGAATACATCTAAACTAGCCAAGTATTCTTGTACTATCTCCTTAGTTATTCTGGGCTGTGTTTCCTCTGCTGAATCATTTGCTTCAAATTCTTCAGGTCGGGCATTGTTTTCTTTATCGGAGAAGACTGAGGCAAAGAAGGCATTGAGGAGTTCAGCCCTTTCTGTGTCCCCTGTTTGCATTTCACCATCTTCTCCTCTGAGTGACCCCACTGTTTCTTTGTTCTTCCTTTTGCTACGAACATACCCATAAAAGCCTTTTTGGTTGCTTTTAACCTCTCTAGCAAGCCTGAGTTCATTCTGTGCTTTAGCTTTTCTGACTTTGTGTCTACACGTGCTGGCTATTTGTTTGAATTCCTCTTTGGTGGTTTCCCCCCTTTTCCATTTTTTGTACACATCCTTTTTTAAATCTTAACTCAGTTAAAAGTTCTTTAGATAGCCACCCTGGCTTCTTTAGGCACCTTCCATGTTTTCGTCTCATTGGTATTGCCTGACGTTGTGCTTTTACTATCTCCCTCTTAACAAATTCCCAGCCATCATGAACTCCCTTTCCTTTTAGTATTACTGTCCATGGGATCTCACCCAGCACTTCCCTAAGTTTTATGAAGTCGGCTTTCTTAAAGTCAAGAAATTGAGTCCTAGTATGCTTGGCTGCTCCTTTCCGCTGTATAGTAAACTTCAGAAGAGCATGATCACTCGCGCCTAATGATCCTTCCACTTCTACCCCACTAACCAGGTCATCAACATTGGTTAGGACCAGATCTAAAATGGCTGTTCCTCTTGTTGCTTCTCCCACTTTCTGGACAATGAAGTTGTCTGCAAGGCCATTGAGGAATCTGTTTGACCTTATGCTCTTGGCTGAGTTTGACATCCAACAAATATCCGGGTAATTGAAGTCCCCCATTACTACTATCCCCTTCCTTTTGCATGCTTGGCCATCTGTTCCAGGAAGGCATCATCTATGTCCTCCGTTTGGCTTGGGGATCTGTAGTAAACTCCCCCAATGAGGTCACTGTTACTTTTCTCTCCCTTAATTTTGACCCAAATGCTCTCACTTTGGCTTTGAGGTTCTAAATCTTGGATCTCTTCACAGGTATACACATCCCTGACATATAACGCCACTCCTCCTCCTATCTTGTCTGGTCTGTTTCTCTGAAATAGATTGTATCCCTCCATTATTACATTCCAATCGTGGGACTTATCCCACCAGGTTTCAGTGATGCCTATTATGTCATATTTAGTTTGCTGTACCAAGAGCTCAAATCTCTAACATAAAACACAGCAGTATATGAATATAAATAAGACAAACGATGACAAATTCATTTTAAAAAATCGATACAATGCAATAAAATCACAATAATGTCCTCCTTTTGGTGCTGTCTTTTTGTTTGCAGGGAGGGCGGACACGACAGCCAGTTGCCCAGCTGGTCCAATTTCACAGGTGGGGAAAACTGAGGCTGCTCAGAGCCTGCCACTTTCCCCAGGCAACCTGTGATGGCTCTGACCAAGACCCTCCCTGCCCCCCTGATCTCTGGCTCCTACTCCCCCTCCACTCTGGTCTTGAGTCCCACCAGCCTCCCTGGTCCCCTTTCTCCTCCCTCATCTCCCAATGATTTCAGTTTCTTCCAGAGATTCTATTTGGTGCTGATGTTTTAAGAACGCTTTTCAAAAAATCAACAGACCAGTATAATCCAAGAAGCACCCCCCAGTCCGGGGCCAGCGTTCAAAACTCCCATTGTTCTAGGTGCGCTTTGCGACAGGGAATTTCATTAGCGCAAGCAGTTTCTGAGCTCTGGGCGCAGTACTGCACCTAAGATTTCAGATTAAAACTGCAGAGTGGAAGGAAAGGAGGACCTTTTTCTGCCTCCCTGCTTCCAGCCACTCTCTGAAGACTGGAGAAGAGACCCTCTTAAGAATATTAGGGGAGTGGGCAGGGAAAGGACTAGACCATGTGAAAAAGGAACATAAGACTTTAGCTGCAGTTCATTCATTTTCAGCTTTGAATTCTTGTTATAAAAAAAAGTGCGCCTAGACATTCTGTTGTTGCACCCATAACCTAGGTTTAAGGTGTCATTTAGCTCCTAGCTTTCATATCTGAGGTCCCTCTGCTAAGAAGGTCCTGGGAAGTTCCTGATGACAGAGCAAAACTGAAGCAGATTCCTCTTTTCCCAGCTGGGTTTTGCTCTTCTGCTCCGCCTCCCCGACCCCCACTGACCCCCATCGCCGTCATGCTAGCTTTGGGGCCACCTCAGATGGTGGTTCAGACAGTGCTGAGGAGGGGCTGGCCGGGAGCTGTTTTCTCAGTGCATATTTTGTGTGTTCCAAACAATCTTTTTCTCTTGCCAAGAAAAAAAGCGTGTTTTTATTATTCCTCTCCAAGTGCTCTGCTGAGTTTCCTTGTCAAAACTTCCTGAGAGCCGACAGCAGATCCCAGCCCCTTCCTGCCTTTCCTCCCTCCCTCCCTCCCACCCTCCCATCTCACACTTCATCTTCTCTCACTCCCACTGAAGCCCCAGAGCCAAACAGATCAGGCTGGGGAGAAAGAGGCAGCTGGAGGTCTCGCCTGTCCTATTCTGGCTAGGAACAGAGTGGCAGCTCAGAGTCTCTCTGGTTTCCTTTGCCCTCCTTGCATCGATAGGTTCTTGTAGAAGAGGTAGCACGGAGGAGGCAGATTCTCTGGCAGACCCTTGGCAAGAACCAGGTAAGTCCCAGGTGGGCCGGGCACTTTGCAGGTAACCAGGGGTCCTGACCGCTTCTCTCCTGGGCCAGCCAAGGCCACACGCTGCCAGGCCAGGGCACTGGAAGAAGGAGCTTTGGGTTGGTTGGGAAGGCCTTGCAGCTTGGCCAGAGTGGCCTTGCGAGCACCAGAGGCTGGCCTTGGCTACCCTAGGAGGCCAACAATGGTGACAGTTTCCCCTCTCAGGAAGAGGCAACAGGCCCAGGGTCTTCTGTGGTGGAGAAAGCTGTGCCTGGTGGCAACATGCAGAGGGGCAACAGGAGCCCTCTAGGCTCTGGCAGTCCTGGGTGGGAGAGAGAGAGTGGAATGGCCACCAGGCACAACTGACAGGCACTCTCTCCAGGATACTAATCTAAGAGTTTCTGCTAATGGTTCCTGCTTTCATAGTTGCTTAGGCTTATCAATCCAAGATGGGTGAGAGGGGGTTGTGCTCCTCTGGATGGGGGGAACTGGCGGAATTTGCTTTGTGTGCTGTGTCCATCCTTTTTTAGGGGTGGCTGTCTAAACGCGCTCCAGAAGCCCTTGCAGTATTGCCTCCCCCGTATCTCATGTTTTAAACGACTGCGTGGGTAGCAGCCCCAACAAGGACGGGCCAAGTGGTGGGTGGGCAAGACAAGGGCGGGGGCTTTGCTTCGGGGTCTTGCTTGCCTGTGGCTGTCTAGCATTTCCCAAGTATGTACTGTCTTCTTCCTAAAGCGAGGCAGGGACTGACTGGTTCCTCTTGCAGGAGCTGGTGGCTTCAGCCCACTAAGTGAGCTTGACCAGGAAACTCTCTCCAGGGGCAGCAGCAGGTGGAGGGGTTTGCTTTTGAAACCACCCACTTGAGCATGCTGAGGAGACCCCCCATAGAAGCAACTGGAGGTGGCCCAGGAATGAGCATGGAGAGAGCAAGACAACTAGGAGAGGAAGGTCTCAGCTCCAGCGATGGGGGGATTGTCCTCCCTGTAGCTTCTGTCCTGTGTCTTGTCCCTGCTCCTTCTGTTGTCAGGCGCTTGGGCATGTGGGGGCCTCTGGGGGTTGTGGAGCCTTCCAAGAGTCTATCTCCTCTTCCTCCTCCTATCTGCCAGGCCAGCAAAGGAAGTGCATCACTGTGGGCACAAAATGCATCACTGTGGGCATTTGTGGGCGGGTGGAGGAGTCCCCCACTTTCCCTGACAGGATGGGGCAGGAAGGTGGGGTGGGGGCATAAGCTGCGTCACCAGCCACCGTGTGCCAGAAAGTTCTTTTTCAAGGAGAGATGCCACTTTTCTGAGTCTTTGGCCTGGTGGATAGAAGGGGTGTCCTCTCTGCCTCTGACCTTCCCCCTCCTCCGTTGTTGCTCCTCCCCCTCCCTCTCTGTTGCCCCTCCCCCACGCCTGCACCTCACTGCCTCTAAGGTGCTGCTGGGACCCCAGGGCCTTTCCTGCTGCTGCTGCTGCTGCTGCTGCTTCCCCTTCTCTTGCCCTGTGCAGGAGAACAGCATGCACTGCCTTAAAACCCATCTGGCCTGCTCCTCTCAGGTGGATTTGTAGCTGGTTGACTGACCAAACTCAAAGAGTGCTCATTAACGGTTCCTCATCATCCTGGGAAAAAGTGACAAGTGGGGTGCTGCAGGGTTCTGCCCTGGGCCCGTTGTTGTTCAATGTCTTTATAAATGACTTGGATTAAGGAATTGAGGGGAAGCTCATCAAATTTGCAGATGACACCAAGCTGGGAGGGGTAGCTAATGCCGTAGAAGACAGAAACAGATTTCAAAATTACCAGAATTCAAAAGAAGCTAACGCTATTCTAGGCTGCGTCAACAGAAGTATAGTGTCCAGATCAAGGGAAGTAATAGTCCTGCTTTATTCTGCCTTGGTCAGACCACACTTGGAATACTGTGTTCAGTTCTGGGCACCACAATTTAAGAAGGATGTCGACAAGGTGGAAGGTGTGCAGAGGAGGGCAACCAAGAGGATCAAGGGTCCTGAAACCAAGCCTGATGAGGAACGGTTGAAGGAGCTGGGTATGCTTAGCCTGGAAAAGAGGAGACTGAGAGGAGGTGTAATAGCCATCTTCAACCACAGCTGCCACATGGAGGAGGGAGCATACTTGTTTTCTCTTGCTCTGGAGGGGAGGACTTGAACCAATGGCTTCAAGTTGCAAGAAAGGAGATTCCGACTTAACATCAGGAAGAACTTTCTGGCACTAAGAGCTGTTTGACAGCTGTAGAACAGACTCCCCTGAGAGTTGGAGGACTCTCCTTCCTTGGAGGTTTTTAAGCGAAGGGCCATCTGTCCTGGATGCTCCAGCTGAAATTCCTGCATTGTGGGGGGTTAGACTAGATGTCCCTTGAGGCCCCTTCCAACACTAAGATCCTATGATTCTGCCCCCGCCCTGGTCTTGGGCATCCTGGCCAGAGGCATCTCCTGCCAGCCAGTTGTCCTCTTGTTGAGCCATGCTGCTGCTGCCTTTCGTGTGATCTCTCCTCTGCTGTTGACACTCCGTTGCTCACCATCCACTTGCTCATTTCCTATAAACAGGAAAATGGAGCTGAGGGTCATGTGTGTTTTCCAAGTAAACAGCAGCTTCCTATCTCTGGGCGGGTGATGGAAGGGGTAGGAGATGAAGGGAGGGAGGGAGGGAGGGTGTGTAGGGGGAGCAGCAGGTGAATCCTGTGTAAGACACTTGGAATCACCAAAGTCAGAGGAGTCAGGGCAGAAATGTAGTAACCCAGCAGCCCAGACTGATGCCTGTGTCCAGGCCCTGCTCCAAACACCTCCAGCGAAGGGAGGCCTTGACCTCCTGGGGTGGCAGAGGCCCCACAGCTGGATTGGCTCTTGCCCTCAGGCATTGTCTCCACATGTCTAGCTGATATCTGCCCTTCCCGCCTCTTGGCCCCCAGAAGATGCCCTGCGAAGGGCTTTGGATGAGCTGCATGTGTGGGGCGTGGCGAGTGGTGCTTTGTACTTTGTCGGTTCCCAGATCCCAGGACTTTTGCTCATTCCCTTCTCTTGGGGCTTTTGGCTAATAAAGAAGAGATGCCTGATGCCATGAGGTCCCTCTGGGCCTTATCCTGCTGCTGAAGGCCAAAGGAGGGGTGCATGGAGGGGGGTGTTCTCAGTGATGGGACCAAAACTGAGGCTGGCAGCTGTGTCCCCTCCACCGCAGCCTTTAGAGCAAACTCGCAGATTCCCCTTCCAGCCTTCCTCATAAAAATGGAAGGCACTTCAGGGGACAGGCAAAAAGTCTTTGCCTGCAATTCTCCTCTCTTTCTCTCTTTCCCTTCCCACAATGACAAGGTAACCCTGGGCCCTGATCCTGAAAGGGTCTCCCTGTGGAAGCTCACCAGAGCCTGAGCTGCTGCCAGAAGCCTTTTGGTTGGAGGGGGTAACTTCAAGGGGGCCTGGTCCTGCCCATTCCTTTCCCTCTTGGCACCTCCCAAAGGCACAGGCCACCATGGGGCTTGGGAGAGGGCTGTGCAGGCATCCCCAGCCATGCAATGGAGTTGGACTTGTTTTGTGGCTGGCTGGCAAGAAGGGCTTATGAAGTGGCACCAGCCCCGAGGGTGAAGTGGCTTAAGGGTCAGTCCTGCCTTTGCATCGCCGCTTGGAAATGGGTCTTTCGCTTTCAGCAGTGCCTCCCAAAGACAGGGTCCTCAAAGGCAGCTGTCTCCCCCTCCCCTCAGCTTTCGGGCCATGGAACATCCTTCTTTGAATGCTGAATCAGAGACATGTAGAAGGGAATGGGGACCCCCAGGTGGAAAGCTTCCAGTGGAGTCAGATGCATCCTTGTGACTCAATACTGCACGACTTATTTTGAACAGGGTTTTATCTTCCATGGGATGGTAATGGACAGGATGGAGAGAGCAGCTGATTATGCAGGTTTGCATTGTATGAAATTGAAGGGGCCCCCCATAGCTGTCAACCTTCTCTTTTTTTGACGGGAAATTCCCTTATTTCAGCGCCGTTTCCCGCTGCTATCCCGGATTGTTAGATATCCCGTAGACTGTCCCTGGGACAGGTGAGGCTGCTGATCCCTTATTTTCAAATCTGAAAGTTGACAGCTATGCCCCCCCCCCAACTGCCCGGCTGCTCAAGCCTCCTTTCCTAGAGAGCCAGCTTGTGTGAGATCTGTCTCTGTCTGTGTGCTCAGATATGCAGCGTTCCTGGAAATGTGTTCCCTTGCAGGCATTTCCTGGCCACCCTCTGGCAGTGGAGCTCTGTCCCAAACTCTGTGCTTCCTGTGATGAAGTCATAGTGACAAGGAAGTGTGGCCTTGACGCAAGTGTGGCAAAGCGAGAGTCAGAGCAGTCAGCGGTAGGTGGGACTCTTGATGAGCTTCCCCCATGAGTGATGGGGAAGAGATAAGGGGGCCCAGAACTTGGGGGGCACATTCTCAGCCTCCAGCAGTGGCAGTTAGATGGGCTCTGGGCACCCCTCTTTGCCAGAGGCCCTGGAGACTCATTGTGGGCAAGAGCCACATACCATCATCACTTTTCTCTCTCCTTTCCCCATTAATAATAATAATAATAATTTTATTATTTATACCCCACCATCTGGCTGGGTTTCCCCAGACACTCTGGGTGGCGTACAGCACATTAAAAATGGTAAAACATTAGACATAAAAAAATTCCAGATACAGGATTGCCTTCAGGTGTCTTCCAAAGGTCAGATAGTTGTTTATTTCCTTGACATCTGATGGGAAGGCGTCCTTCTGCCATGAGGACTTGCCTCTTGCTGGTCCTTTGCTTCACCTCCCGCAGTTCTCTCTCACTGGCTGCCAGGGTCACAAGGACGGCCATTCTGCCCTTCCCTGTTTTTTGGGCACTTCCAGCCAGAAGCGCTTGGCTGGCTTGGCTTGAGCCTGGGCAAGGAGTGGGTGGGGAGGGGAGCAGGAAGAGCGTGCCCTGCCCAGCCGCTTGGGACAGGCCTTCAGAGTGAGGCCGTTCACACATTTCTTCTGCTTTGACACTGTATGCTTGACCGTGACTCTTCAGCAAGCCAAGTTCTGCTGCAGCCCTGTCCCAGGGACCCATCCAAGTTTTTGCAGGAGGGGAGAGCCCAGCTTTTTCTGCCCAACTGACTTCATTGCTCAGCTGCTCTTAGAGTTCTTTGATATCCAAATTTACTTCCTGTTGTTTTGAACCTGTGGCCACCAGCAGCCCTCTTCTCTGCGATTACACTAAACACATACCCTCCAACATTTCTCCAGTGAAAATAGGGACGTCCTAACGGTCAGGGGTCCCTTTACCTTTATTCAATAGTAGTAGTAGTAATTGTTGTTGTTGCTATTTTACTATTTATACCCTGCCCATCTGACTAGGTTGCCCCAGCCACTGCAGGTGCCTTCCAACATATATAAGAACATAACAAAAGATTAAACATTTTAAAAAAAATATTCCATATACAGGGCTGCCTTCAGATGTCTTCTAAAGGTTGCATAGTTACTTATCTATAGTTACTTAACTCCACACACTCCAATATTTCTCAGATGAAAAGAGGGACATCCTATCATGCCCTCCAACATTTTTTTGATTAAAATAGGGACACCCTAAGGAAAAGCAGGACTTTTGGGATCAAATCAGAAACGAGGACAGCTTCTGTAAATCCAGGACTTTCCCTGGAAAATAGGGACCCTAGGAAGGTCTGTAAACAGCTGTCCTTAAACTAAATGAGATGACATTCTGTCATTCTCGCTTGCGAGTCCTGGGCTTCATTAATGCACATTTTTTTAAAAGAGGATTGGCTCCAAGCACTGCTTTTTGTCTAAAAAAATGTTTAGGGGTACCCTCATTTTCCTACACATATTGAAATACTGCCCCTCAATGAAGCCAAACTTACACACACAAAATGTTTAGGGGTATGTGTCCCCCCACGTCCCCCCAGAAAAAAGCACTGGCTCCAAGTAATATTAGGAGTGGCAGGGGGAAGAATCATCTTGTTTAGGATGAAAGGTGGGTGTCTGTTCTCTTAGCTGAAAACTTATACAGTATTGGGGATTTGGAACCTTCTGCTTTTGCTGACTTCAGGCAAACAGGGCTGTGCTTCAGTTTTTTGGTTCAGATTTTTTGCCTGGTGCCCTCCCTCAGGCTGGCAGCGCCATTCCTGTGGTTTGGAGCTCATCTCTTCAGCATTAAGATGAGCGACACAAAGGCGGCAAGTGGGGGCGAAGGGAGGGAGGGTCTTCCTCTGCTGCATCAGTTCAGGAAGACAGAGCGGTCCTTTCCAGGAATATGCAGCGCCACGGCTGGCACACACACTCTGAGGAGCCTGGCACCAGCGCCTGTGCTTCTTCCCGCTGCCGGCACACAGTGGCATGGAAGGGCGGGTGCTGGCAGGAGTTCACTGCCTCTGAGCTGCCCAGGCCAGTCTGCTGGCTGCCTGCAGTTGGCAGGGGCCTGTGGACTCCTGGGAGCCTCTGGCCGCTGGGCTTACCTGAGGGAACAAGGCTTCCCCACAGGCCTCTTGGGATCTGCCTCTGTCCCATCTTAGGGAGAATGTTCAACTCTGGGATGCAATTGCCGCATTGCAGGGGGTTGGACTAGATGACCCTGGGGGTCCCTTCCAACTCTACAGTTCTGTGGTCCTCTCTAAATCTAGCCTGCATGGGTGCATGTTTAGAAACACACCTTCCAGGATGCTTTGGGGCTGGGCTATATAGCGTAGGAGTTAAGCAGCTGCATTAGTTTTGCTGGGTCTCTCAACTGGGGCAGCAGGCCAGCTGATCCACTAGCATTAAGGATGTCCCCGCGGGCCTTCAAGGAATGTTCTTGCTCGGAGATCCACCCTGGCCAGAGAAACCGGGAAGTTCTGGCATCGCTGGGCTCTGACTGTGTGAGAGGGGAGGGGGGGCTCCTGGCAGGTTCCCTGCTTCCCACGCAGTGACAATTTAGCCGTAATTCAAGCCAGCCTCTCTTCCCCCTCCATCCCATCTCACCACCACCACCAGGGCTGGCTGAGAGGCTCCCCTGACACCCTGCAGGCTGTTTCTTCCAGGCCAGCCAAGCGCCACCTCAGTGCCCTCCAGGCCTCCCCTTCCCACTCTCCCCCTCAACTTTCCTCCTCTTCCCAGGCGCGTTGCTTCCTTTGGAGCTGAGCAGGCAACTGTGCTTGGCAGAGCCGGGCTCACCACCAAGGAAGCAAAAGCCCCCTTTGCAGGCTTCTGGCGCTACTTGGGGAATCGCATTCCGGAATCCCCCCCCCCCCAGGGGAGCAGCACCTCCCTCTTAATGCCTCTTAATTCCCCTCTCTGGAGTGGGGTCTTGGGCAAGCAGTGGTCCCTGCTCAGTCCAGGCCTTTGCTTGTGGCCCTGTACAAAATGAGCCTTTTTGTCTCAGGCCAAAATTAAAGGCCATAACTGGGTGAGGAAGAGCTGCAGGGTGAGAGTGGTGCACCCTCCACAAGACCCTCCTGCCTCCCCATTCAGGCCCCACAGGTGACCTTTCGGCAGCAAACCACGAAGCAGCAGCCAGGGTGCTGAGTGCAGGTCCTGGCCTGGCTTCAGCGCACCCTGACATTTTTGTCCTTCAGGGCAACTCAAGAGCAGGCGGGGATGGGATATCCCCATTTCTGGCCACCTTCTTCCTGGCGATTCCCAGCCACAAGGAGGGCGTGGCTGGGAGAGCGGCAGAGCTAGGCAGCCCCTCTTTCCCACGCAGCAACCTCCAGCTGGTACTGGGATGGGGAAGCTCCAGGGGTCATTTCCTGTTTCCAGTCAGTTGCAGAAGGAACGTAAAATGCGCACCGCAAGCATTAATGGGGAGGGGTATTTAATTACACTAAAAAGCCACTACAGGGGGCTGATGGAGTCCAGATGTGGGCCTTGAAAGGGCGAGGCAGAGCTCGGCTGCAGAGCTTCCAAAAAAGACTTGCAGCCACTGGATTTATTTCAGAACCTAGACCAGCCTCTGCGGAGTCTGAGCCGCTTTTGGCCTGCTTTGGGGGTCCCTCAGTCCCATCTCTTATGGCTCCTGGGACGGGCATCTGGTTGGCCACTGTGAGGACAGGCTGGTGGGTCGAATTGGCTGCAGCCGCTCTTCTTAAGGTCTTCTTGCTGCTAGATGCTGTCTCCAGTTTCAGAGGTGGTGCTCATCTGAATACCAGTTTCTGGGAATCCCAAGTGGGGAGCGTTGCTGCTCTTGCTTAGGCCCCGCTCTCGTGGGCTTCCCCTTTGGAGTATTTAGCTGGCCCCTTGGAGAACAGGGGGCTGTACTGTGATGGGGCCCCTCTGGCCTGATCCAGCAGCAGGGCATGGCTCCTCTGACGTTCTCATGAAGCGCCGACTTCTTGTGTCGCTCTGGCTATGACTTGCGTCGTTCTGCCTCCGTCTCCCAGGGTCTTCCTTGGCAGAATGCGATGTCCATGTCGAGGGAGGCAGAGTGAAGTCGCTGCTCACAATCAAGGGCTGGAACAGGCAAATCTTCCTGGATCTCTGGGGCTAGGGAGTGGGTGGGGCCACCCCTCTCCAACTCCTCTCTATGTGCCTTTGGGGCTCCTGTAGCCGCAGGAATCTCGTTCTGTTCCTGAAGGCAATGCGGGGGCCGCACACAGGCAGGCTGAGCCCCTCCAGGGCCCGGACAAGCCCTGGAACGCCTGTTCCAGCCAAGCTTCGGGGCGGGTCCAGCCACAGCCGGCCAGGAGCGCCTAGAAACTCCCACCCCCCGCTGGGAATCCGCCCCACCTGCCTCCCGCTCTCTATAAGCGACTTTTGGAGCTTTGCAAGGGCTGGGGGCTGGGAATGCAACCTCCCGCCAAGGTCGTCCCCTCTCCTCCTCCTCCACGGGTGGTCCCAGCGCAGGAGGGTGGCGAGCAGAGGCTGGACTTGTATCTTCTACACAAAAGCAGGAGGAGCCCTCTGGTCTGATCGGTTCCAGGCGCTCCTGGATGTGGTTTCAAGGAGTGTGTCGTTCGTCCCCCCGTCCCCCCCATTCTCTGGTGGAATATAGGTTGCCCAGCGAGGCAGGGGCGGAGGAAGGGGACAAGGGGGTGGTCCGCCCCAGGTGTCTTTGCTGAGGGGGTGACATTTGGCGCGCCACCCACCCGCGACTCCCAAACCTACCCCGAGCCATCGGGTGGAGCTGTGTGTTCCGCCCCCTTTGGAGTGCGCCCGCCCTGGGCAGTGCGGGCTTATGCTCCGCCGCTGCAGCAAGGGCCCCCCCTTGTGCCACTTGAGGGCTCTGGGCCATGCAGTCCCCCCTTCAGCAGCCTCACCTCCCCCCTTCGGACCCAGGCCAGCGGTCTGTTTCCACCAAGAATTCTCGGGCAATATCTTGAGCATCGACTCCCTGCCATAGGAGCCAGCTCCCAGGAGCCAAAGGGGATTCAGCTTCCCCAATAAAATATTTAAGGGGGGCCAGCCCCTCCCCCCCAGTAGATAGGCATTGCAATTCAAATAGTGTGTGTGCATCGTGTCATGTGATCACTTATGCATGGCGGGGCTTACCTGCCCCCCCCAATTTTATTCGAGTTGGCACCCTGGTCCCTGCTGTCATTTGGGTGGTGGCTCTGTAATGCTTGTGAATGGTCCTGGGTTCAATCCTGGGGGCTTTCTTTTTCCTCCCTGGTTTCACAGTTTCTGGACATTTCCCCCCTCCAAAAAACGCCTCCCCAGCTCAGATCCTGGGGTGGGTGGGGCTACCTGTGCAGAGCACCTTTGGGTGCTCCTCAGAGTCTCCTCCATGCCACCCCACCCCACTTCCAGCATCAGGGGGACGGGCAGGAGGGATGAGGGAGGGGGACCCACAGGCAACAGCTTGCTCAGCAAATAACCCAGGAGAGTTGCTGCCAAAGGGAAGGGGGGCACTTAGGGCAGCCACTTCGGGAGGCAGGCGAGCAGGTGCAAGTAACCCGTTCACAGCTGAGACCTGCTGATGACTCTCCTAACTGCAACAGAGGACACTTTTTTCCTGTTTAACAGACCAAGGTAGTCAATGTTTAACAGTGAGATAAAGCAGAATCTCTCTCTCTCTCTCTCTCTCTCTCTCTCTCACACACACACACACACACACACACACACACACACGATATGTCCGTAGTGTTAATAGTGGAGGAATCTTTCCTTTCATTTTTTTAAATGTAATTTGTTCTGATAGCGTAACTGAAATCGTCTCTAAGCAGCGTGCAAGTAATTCAGTGCAAAAAAAACCCCAGTTAAAACTATGAAGTCAGAATTCAGTTTAAATTCCCGCTGCAAGGGGGAGGGGGAGGTCTTCCATAGGTGCCAGAAGATCAACAGGGAGAATGGGCCTGCCTGACCTCAACTAGCGCATCTGAGCCATGGGGGGGGGGGCCTGGGGGTGACAGTGGCCCCTAACGACCAGCTCATTGGCAGCGATGGATGCTGCTGCTAGCTGCCTCTCCTTGTTCCCGTAAACGACAGGCGCTGAAGCCATCAGGGTGGCAAAAGGGCGTGTGAAGTAGACCCAAGAAACACGCTTTCCCCCGATGGCAGAACCTGTCCAGCTATGGAGCTGCCGCCGAAGGCTTGCAGCACTCAGGGCGTCCTTCAATGTGTTTGCACGGTTGAGGGAGACCACGCAGAGACTCCTGGGCTCCTGGCGCCAGCTTGCATTCCGGTTTGGAAAACAGCCTTTTGCAGGAAACGAGCAATCGGCTCAGAGATGAGCAGCTGCCGCACCAGAAGCCTGTGCTGATTTGCCATAGGGAGCGAGTGGCCCCGTAACAGAGGCAGCGTCCGTCCGCCCAAGGCCAGGAAGGGGCTTCCTGCGTCCTGGGATGGGCTCGGCGAGCGGGATCTCTGTGGGGAGAAATGTTTGGCAGGAGGTGAGATGCGAAGGAGCCATGAAGTTCCCCTCCAAGCCTGCTGTACTTTTCCTGCGTGTGGGTGGCTGCAGCTGGCCTGAAAGGTGTCCCTGAAGAAATGTGGTTTGGAGGAGCCATTCTGCTGTAGAATAAATGCCCTGCCAGCAACCCCATCCTCCGAGAGCGGGGGGAGGCGGGACGAGAGATGTAAAATATCCAGAAATTTTGAAGCCATGGGGGGGAACGTTCCCCCCCTGGTTTTTTTTCTGGGAAAAATTGAAAAAAGGTTCGGTGTGGAAAAGTTTTACAAATTGTGTGAAACACAGTGTAGATAAAAAGTATTATGCTTGCAATAAAACAGGTAACCACCCTCCTTTCCCTCAAAAGCAACAACAAAAAAAGCAAGAAACCATCAACATAAATAATAATCAGATTTGCCCCTTAGCACCAACAGCAAAAGGGTGGCGCTGTGGTCTAAACCACAGAGCCTAGGGCTTGCTGATCGGAAGGTCAGCAGTTCGAATCCCCACGACCGGGTGCACTCCTGTTGTTCGGTCCCAGCTCCTGCCCACCTAGCAGTTTGAAAGCACATCAAGTGCAAGTAGATAAATAGGTACCGCTCTGGTGGGAAGGTAAATGGCGTTTCTGTGCGCTGCTCTGGTTTGCCAGAAGCGGCTTAGTCATGCTGGCTACATGACCCGGAAGCTATCTGCGGACAAACGCTGGCTCCCTTGGCCTATAGAGTGAGATGAGCGCGCAACCCCAGAGTCGTCCGCAACTGGACCTAACGGTCAGGGGTACCTTTACCTTTACCAACAGCAAATAAAGTTAAAGTTAAGGTTTATTCTATCTCATTTTCTGAACTACAGCTATCATTTTCCATTTCTTCTTCCTCTTCCTCTTTGTCATTTTTCTCATGGACTTCTTATTTATGTTGATGGCTTCTTGCTTTTTTTATATACACCGCCTTTCGCGCAATTTGTGAAACTACTCCACACTGAACTTTTTTTCACTTTTTCCAAATGTCCATTTTTTCTGGGAGGAAACAAGGAAAAAAACTTTTTTTTTCTCATGGCTTCAAAATTTCTGGAAATTTGACATCTCTAGATAAAACACAGTTAAAAGCAGGTATTTAAGAGTATTCAAAAGATGATTAAAGACAGCAGTGGTTAAAAGGAAGTAAATCGCATGCAGCTTCTACGTGTTCAGATGGGCTGGCCCTAACAAAAATGTTTTGAGCAGTTGCTGGAAAGAGTAGAGTGAGAGCACCTGCCTGGTGTCAGTTGGCAGGGAGCTCCAAAGTGGGGGTGCTGGAAGCCCTGGGGGGGGGAATGGAAAAATTGGGAGGGGGCAGTTTTTCCCCTGTTTTTTCCCAAAGTCTTTTTTTCCCCAGGAAAAAATTGGGGGAGGGGAGTGTGTGTGGAATATTCAAACTATACCAAACGATTTTTTTCATTTTTTCTGGAAAAAAACGGCTTCTGAAAAAAAACCTGGTTCCCCCCCCCCCCAATTTTTCTGTTTTTTCCCCAGGCCTTCCCATCTCTAGGTGGGACTGCTTGCCTCCAGGGCTCATCTTGCCCCTTGGGCATCTAGAGGTGGCCCCAGCTGGAGGTGAGAGAGGAAAACCTTCTCTCTGCTCGCTTCCTGTTTTCGCTGGGGGCTTCCTGTGTTTATCTCCGAGCTGGACAGCTGGCATTGGCATTGAGGGGTGGGGGCTTCAGGGGGCATCAAGGGAAATCTGGGAAGTTCTTCTTTTGGAACAGAACAGATGAGGGCAGCAATCTAGAGAATAATGTATGTTGCTTGGCAGAGTCAGGTGGGAACTTTTGCAGAGACCCAATATCACCGATCTCTTCACCTCTCTCCTGAGGGTCATCCCCCTGCAATGAAGGATTCTCACCCAAATCCTGCACAACAGATGACCACCCAACCTCTGAGTCTGAACCTGCACTGATTTGTTTTAATTAAACAACTGGATTCTATGTGCAGCTTCTGGCTGGGCTGGACTTGGGAGGCGTGGAGAAAATCTTCCTGGAGCCCAGAGTCACTCCCTGCAGGAGCAAAAGGAGTTGAATCCTCCACCTGCCAGCCTGTCTGGCATCAGCACAAGTGGCCTGATGGCCGCAGGGAGGGAGCACTTGGTTCTCCTTCAGCAGAGGATGCTGGGGCAGGAATACCAGTATCTGCAGTACCCAAAATGTTGCTTTGTTTGGCCCATCCTCAGTTTTGTGTCGCCTTGGCAACAGAGCATTCAGCACACTTGCAAGGCTGTATTTAGCCTCGATCAATCTCTCGTGCCAGATACAAGATAATTGTGACAGATGACTTTCCCCCTTTGGAACACGGTCTGCCTCTCCTGGGCTGCCCCTCACTTCCGAGGCCAGGGCTGGGAGCTGAATTGTCAGGCGGCTTCCCTTGGAAGGGCTTTGGGTCTCTGGAGGCTCCTCCTGTCTCATCGGGACTGACCTGCCCTCCTCCCTCCTCCTCCCTAGGATGCTTCAGTACTCCATTCTCTTGCTGTGGATGCAACTGGATTGGGGCCTCTTGCTCAGTCCCAGCGACCCCAACGTGTGCAGCTACTGGGAAAGGTGAGGAACTAGGGAGACTTGGAGGGTTTGTGTGGAATGCATCAGGAAGTGGGTGGGAATGAGACTCACATGGCAGAGGGATTGCGCGACTTAGAATCACAGCCCAAATGCTGCTGTTGTTATTAAAATTTCTATACTGTCCTTCACCCAAGGCTCACAGGGCAGTTTACGATATATGATACAGATATACGAGATGTGTGTATACAGATACACACACACACAACCTCCCAGAGGAGGCTGGGGAAGTGGGCCACATACCGAAGGCCCTCCAGGAAGTTTGGGAACTCCCTGTGCACTAGCCCTGCGCTTGTCTAGCAAAACGTGCATTTCTGATTTGGCTGCAAACCCCACGGAAGGGACCCAAATGGTCCTCTAGTCCACCCCCCGGCAATGCACGAATCTCAGTTGAATAATCCCTGCCCATGGGACAAAGGTCTCGGGGCTTCTCTTTCAGCCCAGCCACCCCAAGACTGCCCCCCCTCTTCTTGTGGGGCTCTCACTGCATTTCAATGCCATTCAAATAAAGATCTGAAATAAATCAGAGGTAAGAGGGTGCCTCCCTTTTTTTCTCAGGAGTAGAAATCTAAACAGAGCAAGTGTTTTGTGGGTGTTTATTTCACTGTGGTTGGGGAGCGGGATCCAGCTTGTTTTTGCCTGTGATCTGGGGATCTGCTTCCGCTGAGTTCTCGGTGGCCAGCCAAGCCAGGCCAGTGACCCCCAGAGGATTCCCTTTCTCCTGCCTCCCCTCTCGCAGCTTCACAACCCCCTCCAAGGAGTCCTATGTGCAGCCGTACTCCCAGGCCTTCGAGGAGCCTTGCGACGGAGCGTGGCCCTTCGCCAAGACCTGCACTCGCCACAAGTAAGAGCCCGGCTCCTCCTTGCATTTTGCATTTCTCCAGCAGGGGAAGCGGGGTGGGCAACGCAGATGCTGGGCGCTGGCCTCAAGGGTTTCCCAGGTGAGCCAGGGGCCTGTCCGCCTGGGATGCCGCGGGTGGGGAGGGGGCTGTCTTGTGCCGGCTTCATGCATGGAGAGGTGGCCAGGCCAGGCCTGCTGTTGCTGATGCTCCAATCTGAGGTTCCAGGGCTTAAGCTTGATGCTTCCTCCTGCTCCTCCAGAGGGCTACTCTGGCCAAGCCCAGCTGCAAGTGGCAGCAGGGAGATCTTTGCCTTGAGGGCTTCCGCAGCAGGGCTCTTGCCTCTCCCAGTCACCCTTTGGCAATATCTCCCCCCCCCCCGGGGGGGCATCAGGAGTAAGGGAAGGAGAAGGGGGCTGCTGCTGCTCCTCCTCCATTGCTGCAAATGCAGTCAGCACCTTCCTTGGACCCTGGCCGCAGCAGCCCACCCTGCAAGGTAGGCCAGGCCCTGACCCTTTGACCTCGCGCAGGGTTTTCTACAAGGCAGCCTATCGGCAAGGCGTGAAGATCGACTACAGGAGGCGCCATCACTGCTGCAATGGCTACTACGAGAGCGAGGAGCGCTGCGTCCGTGAGTCTGTCTGTCCGTCCATCCTCATCCCCAACCGCCACCCGGCCCAGCAACCAACCCAGTTGCCGCGGGATGTGGGGGGGTCCCCAAATCAAACTCTGCCTTTGTGCCATCCCTCCACCTGGCCTGGCAGAAGCCAAAGTGGGGAGGGGGCCAAGCGGCAGGTGGGGGGTTGGCTACGAGTCTTTGAGGCTGGTCCCCTGCAAGGGGTGGTAGGGAGAGGAGGGGAGGGGGCTCTGCTTGCTTTGGCAAGCCACAAAGGGGTGGGGTCTTCGTTTGTGGGCCTCCCTCCCTCCTGCTCCTGACCTCCTGTCTGGCCGTCCAGGTGGGGCCCTTTCCCACGGCTGCCTGAAGCCCCCTCAGTTCCTCCACAATGTCTGGTCTCCCCCCGCCCTGCTTGACCAGCTCCCTCCTAGCCTCCCTGAAGCTAGGAAGCTTTTCCAGCAGCTGCCTGGAGACCTCAGAGCAGGCAGGATGTGTCCCTGACCCTGTGCCTCCCCCCCCCCCCCCGCAGCTAGCTGCACCCAGGAGTGCGTCCACGGGAGGTGTGTGGCCCCGAACCAATGCCAGTGTGCTGACGGCTGGAAGGGCCCCGACTGCTCCAGCGGTGAGTCTCCACGAGGTCTTTTCTTTGCTGCACAGCGAGGGCTGCCTACTTGGGAGTAGCTGGAGCTGCACCTGGGGGAAGTGGGCCTGTTTCTCTCCCCCTGGCCTGTCGCCCCTCTGAAGCGGCAAAGCATCGTCTCTGAGGGCATCTCCAGGCCAGCATTCTTGGTCCTTGATTTATGGGGGTTGTGAGTTGCTGCTGCGCCTCGTCCCCACCTGCTGCCCCTCTCAGAAGCTCAGGTGGTCACAGCAAGGCTTGGCCTGCGATGGAGGAACCAGCTGCACCACCTTTGCCCTTGTGCACATGCAGATGGACACACAGAGAACTGCCTCAGCAGCCCCTCTCCTTCCCATGCGCATAAAGGGATGGGAGGCAGGGATGCCTCTTGGGTGGAGGTTGTGGGGCTCACTGTGAGCCTGGCAGGAGTGGCCAAGTGGGTCCTGTTTTCGCTGCACCAGCCTGAGGCAACAGAGGGGCCTCTTCCTCCAAAGGTCATGGAGGCAGCCAGTTCCCAGGCGTCCCTCTGGGCCTGGAGTTGAAAGCAGGTCACTGGCTGGGAAACAAGCACTTCAGAGGGAACAGGGGCGGGCGGAGAGCGGGGGCCGCCTGCAAAGGGGGCTGCTCAAGTGTGCATGTGGGGGGAGGATTCTGCAGAGCCAGGCAGACAGGGACCGGCCTCAGGGAGGCTGCCACTGCTTTTGCTTCTCTGGGGCGAAACTCCTTTGGGCTTCCTGGGGAAAAGAGAAGGGGCTTTTCATGGCACGGGTGTGTGTGTGTGTGTGTGTGTGTGTGTGTGTGTGTGTGTGTTGGGAACCTCAACTTCCTCTCCTTGGTGAGGGGAGCCAGCAGCCACCAAGGGCAGTTGTGAACAAGATGAGGGGTCTGTCAGGCAGCAGCTTTGGGGTGTGACACACTGCTTCCCCCCTCCAACCCCAGAAACCCTCACCCTGCTGTGCTCTGGGTGTTTGAGGAGGGGCCTGCCAAGCTCCTTATATATAGAGAGAGTGTATCTGAAGAAGTGTGCATGCACACGAAAGCTCATACCAAGAACATCTTACCGTAGTTGGTCTCTAAGGTGCTACTGGAATTTTTTAATTTTGTTTCGACTACGCAGACCAACACAGCTACTACCTGTAACTAGTTACAGGTGGGTAGTACAAAAGAATTTCAGAAATAAACTGGAAAGAGAAGTTGCTGAATTGCAACTTCTTACCAAACTTAAAACCATGGAGAGACCTGGTCTGAATAGAGACATTGGATTCTTCTCTCATTATACATGATAAAGCTATTTTTAGCCATCTCACCCCTTGCTTTTTCCTATAAGACCAATTGCAGTCATTAACAGTCGTCAACAGGTTTACCACACCTATCAGCCAATCACCCATTCCCACCCCCCTTCTGAGTAATCCCCCTCCCCACCCTCCCACTACATATAAGGGACTGGTGACTTCTGTTTCAGTGTATCAGAAGAAGTGTGCATGCACACAAAAGCTCACACCAAGAACAAGGTTGGTCTCTAGGGTGCTGCTGGAAGGAATTTTTTTATTTTGTTTCAACTACAGCAGACTAACACGGCTACCTACCTGTAACTGAGGCTTTATTGTATGTTTTTAGTATTTTGTTGCAAGGCGCCCAAAGTGACTGGTGCAACGCAGTCAGATGGGCAGCATGTAATTTTTATTTTTATTTTAAATATTATTAGAGCCTTGTGTGGGAAGACCCTCCCAACACTCACCCGGCTGGTGGGGGTACCACCATTTTGTGTGGCTGCCCAGAGTTCTTGGCCATCCTTTGGTTGGTGCAGTCTGCCCTGAACCCCACTTGCCTTTCCTCAGCCACTCTTCCTTCTTCTTCCTCCTCCTCTTCCTCCTCTCCTCTCCTCCCCCTCCCCCTCCAGGGTGCAACCGCCTGTCCTGGGGGCCAGACTGCCAGCAGCCCTGCGGGTGCCTGAACGGAGGCAGCTGCCACCCCCTGTCTGGGGCCTGCCTTTGCCCGCCGGGCTACAAGGGCCCCTCCTGCGAGGAGCTCTGCCCCCCGGGTACCTACGGCCAGGACTGCCAGATGGGCTGCCACTGCGAGAATGGTGCCCAGTGCGACACGGAGACAGGGGCCTGCCTGTGCGCCCCGGGATTCAGCGGCCCATAGTGAGTAGCACCTCGGGGATGCAGGTTGGCAGACAGAAAAGCTGGGGGGGCTGTAGACCTCTGGTGAACTGGGCTGAGATCCGTTATGGTCTGGAGCGGGGTTCCAATCTCTCCTCAGGGCAAAACCTAGAATGAGTTTCTAGTGCTCCTGAGAGTCGGTGTAAAGGTAAGGCTGAGGGGAAGGGTCCTTGCCAGCTCAGCCTCACCCTTCCTCATCTCTTGCAGCTGCGAGCAGTCCTGCCAAAACGACACCAGTGGCTTCCAGTGCCTGGCCCTGTGCCCTTGCCAGAAGGGGGGCATCTGCCACCCCCCTGAGACCAGCAAGTGCGCCTGCCCTCCAGGATGGATGGTACGTTTATGTGGGTGTGAGAGAGAGGAGGGGCCTGGGGCACTTGTGGTTCCAGGCCCTAGGATGGGGATGGGGGAAGTGGGCCTGCACTGTCCGTCCAGCCACTGACCTGAGTGCTCACCTGCTCAGGTGCCACCACAGGTGAGGAGAACGCAGGGCTCTGCCTTTTCAGCTGAGTCCCAACCTGAGCGAAGTGGGTTTTTGTGGGAATGTTCAGGGATGCAGGAGAGGATATATTGTTCGATTATAGCCTTTCCAGCTTGTGTTAACAAGTTCACAATTTAGCAGAGTAACATTCCCCCTTTTAAACTCACAGCGGATGCATTTGCTGAGGCTGACTAAAGCCTCTAGAATAACTGTTCTGGTATTTTCCCCTTATTACCTCATAAAAGATAAGACACGAAAAAGTCTTCTATAAAAGTATAAAAAGAGTTTACTCACTCACATTCTGTTCATAATCGGATCCCAGAAGGCAGACTTAGCTTAGAAAATTTACATACACCTGGAAACTATCTCATAAGGAGACAGTCCCTTTGTCCTCTCTTGGCTGGAGGCCAAGAGAGCATCTTTGGCTAAGCAGATGTTCCTTCTTCAACGCATGTAGTCATAGAGAGAGAGATGGCTGCCCTGCCCTGTGCTTTTGTCGTCACCTGCACAGGTGAGGCCACGCCCACCTCTAGTCACATGCAGAGGAAGTCTGTCCCAGCCCAGAAGGAAACAGGAAGTTTACCAGCTGGCTGGACAGACATTCCTCCCCAGGTGTAAACATGTTCACTCTAGGAATGTTGTACTTGACTGCTCTTGTGTTTCACATCCCACAGTTTTGCAGGGGGGTTGGGGGCAGCATCCATTGCAACCTACGTGGGGGCTGGGATTTCCTCCTGCCCCCTTGCTGCAGGGCAGGTGAGGGCCCTGGGCTTTCTGGCCTCACTTCCCCCCAGTTTGTATATTACTTCTCTGCTTAGGGTGTGGCAAGAAACGCTCTGCAGCTCCTCTTTCCTCCTCTCCAGCTATTGCCTCCTTTCATTGCAGGCCACCTGCCTTCTTTCTCCCCCCCCATCTCCCCCCTGCAAGAGGGTCCTCAGGGGCCCTTGAACTGTCCCTGCAGGGAGGCTTTTGGGGGTCAGGAAGAGTGCCCTCTTTCTCTGTGCACCCCATTGAGAGAGTCATTCCTGCTTCGACAGTCATGCCCAGGCATGATTTCATTTCATTTATTTTATTATTACTTTTGCATCCCGCCTTTCCTCCAAGGGGCTCTCCCTCTCCCCATTTAACAGCCCCCCACAACAACCCTGTGAGGTAGGTTAGGCTGAGAGGTGGTGACCAACCCAAGGTTATGCCCAGTGAGCTTCATGGCTGGGGTGGGGGAACTGAACTCTGGCTTCCCCCCAATCCCAGTCCAACACGCTAACCACTAGGCCACGCTGGCCATTAGGTGCCCCCCGGCCTCCACCCAGGCAGGGAGTTGGTTGTTTCTTCTTCTTGTGGACAAGTAGGATTGATCCTTGGGGGGCAGGGTTTGCGCTTGGCACCACTGTGATCGGGGCTCTCTCTCTGCCCCCCCCCCATGCAGGGCTCCATCTGCTCCTTCCCGTGCCCCGAAGGGCGCTTTGGCTCCAGCTGCCAAGGGGAGTGCAGGTGCCACAACGGAGGCCTCTGCAACCAGGAGTCTGGGCAGTGCCAGTGTGCACCAGGCTACACGGGGGAGAGGTGAGTAGACTCCACCGGGCAGCAGGGGTGTCCACATGCTTAAAAAGTGAAGCAGGAAATGGGGGGGTGGGGTAAAAAAGTCTCAAGACTCATCATTTTGGGTACTAGGAAAAGGGCAGCAAAGGAAATAATGGCATCTATAGAAAACCCACTCACTGTTGACATTTCACAGCAGATGAGGGTAGAACAAGCAAAATCTCTTCAAGAGGTGAGTGAAATTAAAAATGAAATTAAAAATGATATGGACGGTTTGGATTTTTAAAATGACAAAAAAAAATTGGCAAGACCAGAAGGAACAGTTCATTGGGAGGCGTTCGGCTGACCTAGCATGTTGCTAGGATAGAAGAAAGGATTCTTCTGTTGTCTGGAGAAATAAGGTAACTAAATGATAGTGGAGACTTTGGAAAAGTGGAGTAATACACAGAGAGAGGGAAATATATTTGGATAATTTGGCATTAAAGGAGCTGAGAGAAAAGAGTTCTACCTAAAATTCAGGAGGGTGAAGACATTGGGGACAAAGTGATTAATTGCCTTGCATCCTTTTTGAGGGGAAGTGGTTTTTTGTTTTTTTATAAAATATTTATTAAAGTTTAAACATTACAAAAAAGAAAATAAAAACAAGAGAGAAATATACAAAACATCAACAATACCAAAAGAAGAAAAGAAAGAAAACAAAAACATTAGAAAAAAACCCAAAAGAGAACAAACAAACATACAAAAGACCCCCATATTTTCATATCCTTATCTTTCATTAGCTTATTTCCTTGACTTCCTCACACCTCCTTTTTTGTATTCTAGTTCAATTAAATATTCTAGCAAGTCCTTTCCCTCTTTCACAAATTTAGTTCCATAATTTAATTTAACGAAATTTTAAACTTAAATTTACATCTTTACCCAATGTCAAGCTATTCATACTTAATTCTTTATAATATTTCTACTAAAGTCATATAACTTCTTTCCAGCATCTTTCTAAGATTCATTAATTTTAGAATATTTCTGTAAATAAGCTTTAAATTTTTTCCAATCTTCTTCCACTGACGCTTCTCCCTGGTCTCAGATTCTGCCAGTCATTTCCGCCAATTCCATGTAATCCATCAGCTTCATCTGCCATTCTTCCCTGGTAGGTAGGTCTTGTGTCTTCCAGTGCTTTGCGATGAGTATTCTTGCTGCTGTTGTAGCATACATGAAAAAAACTCTATCCTTCTTTGGCACCAATTGGCCCACCATGCCCAGGAGAAAGGCCTCTGGTTTCTTAAGAAGGTATATTTAAATACCTTTTTCATTTCATTATAGATCATCTCCCAGAATGCCTTAATCTTTGGGCATGTCCACCAAAGGTGAAAGAAAGTGCCTTCAGTTTCATTGCATTTCCAACATTTATTATCGGGCAAATGATAGATTTTTGCAAGCTTGACTGGTGTTATGTACCACCTGTAAATCATTTTCATTAAATTCTCTTTTAAGGCATTACATGCCGTAAACTTCATACCAGTGGTCCATAACTGTTCCCAGTCAGCCATCATAATGTTATGTCCAACATCCTGTGCCCATTTAATCATAGCAGATTTCACCATTTCATCCTGAGTATTCCATTTCAGTAGCAAGTTATACATTCTTGACAAATTCTTAACTTTAGGGTCTAACAATTCTGTTTCCAACTTTGATTTTTCCACTTGAAAACCTAATTTTTTGTCCTGCTTGTATGCCTCCATTATTTGTTAATAATGGAGCCAATCTCACACTCTGTTTTTTAATTTTTCAAAGCTCTGTAATTTTAATCTGTCACCCTCTTGTTCCAAAATTTCCCAATACTTCGGCCATTTGGCCTCCATATTGAGTTTTTTCTGAGCCTTTGCCTCCATAGGTGACAGCCATCTTGGGGTCTTTTTGAGCGGAAGTGGATGAAATAAACAAAACCTACAGAATTAATACACGTTCTACAAAATTAGCAACAGACTTTATGGAGAAATTCAAATGGGAAATGGAAGAAATGCTAACGGATGAGACTGAAGACATGGAATTGGGAGCTGTAGGTTAACAATGAAATGAAGCCAGAACTTTTCCTTCTAGGAGTAATGGATATATAATTAGAAGGACCATGGAACATTATTTCAATATATGACCACAGCAGCGAGACTTTTATTTGCACAAAGATAGAAAGATTCATCATTACCTACCATGGAGGAATGGTTGCTAAAATGATTGGACTTAGCTGAGATGTCAAAGCTGATGTGTTTAATTAGAGAAAAATAATTGTTGGTATTTACTAAAGACTGGAAATCCCTTTTGGACTTTTTGCATGAAAAAGGAAAGGAACTTATGATATCTGGATCTGAGAATTGAAGAAAATATTGGTTTTTAGAAAGCGGAATAGTTGGGTATTACCTTGGAGTGGATGTTTTGAATAACTTTCTATATATAGCAGAAAAACAAAGAATCAGAAGTTTTCCTTTTATTCTTTTCCCTTTTTTTCTCCCCCCCCCCTTTTCTGTTCCTCTTTTTGGCTTGTGTTTTTATTTTATTTCATCTTTGGGATTCTAAAAAGATATTGGATATTAGCTTTTGTATATCTTTTTTTGACTTTAATAAAACCTATGGCAAATAAAAAAAAGAAATGATGATGGGAAGACGAGGGATACCTAAGTATTGGGATACCTGTATTGGCCTCACAAGGGTCCCCGGCAGGTGGGGAGCTTGTGCCCCTGGTGGCCCAGCAGCCGCCTTCCTGGAGTCCCAGGGCTGCTGGGCAGGCTGGCCCCACGGGGCCCCTTCTCCTTCTGCCCCAGCCCCTCCTTCTCCCTGCTGTGCGGCTCAACAGCTGCAGCCCCAGTTGGGGAGTATTTGTGGAGGAAGCCAGTTGGGCCCCCCCTTGGCGAGTGGATCTTTCCCCCGGTGAGAAAAGGATGCAGCCTGGAGGGGAAGGAAACACTGCTCTCTGCCAGCTTTTTAATGCAGACAATGGAGGAGAAAAATTAAGCCCCTGATGGTTTTCCCATCTAAGTCAGAGGAAGGAGAGGAGGCCAGGGGATGCAGGGGGCTTCAGGCACACCTGGGGGGCATTTGTAGCACCCCCATGGAGCCTGCCTTAGCCCCATTCATGGCAAAAGAGGCTGAGCTGAGGGGCTGGAGGGGGCAAAGCTCCTTTCTCCTGGGCACCTCGCTGCACCAGTTCTCTCTCATCAGCTCTGCCAGCCACAAGGCTTGCCCCTCCCTGCCCCCCCATGAGTTTTTCCTTCATAGAGAAAAATAATCCCTCAGACTTTAAAAGCAGCCACGGGGATGGTGTTAAATTCAGAATCTGTTGCCAGCTGTCATTGGTGTTTCATAAAACCGCATACTGAAGAACGATGTCCTTTCTTAAATGGATCTTGATCAGCTCTACATCCTTCTGCGCCCCACCCCTTGTTTGGGGGGGTGTCTGTGCAGAGTAGCTTACAGCTAGGAAGCTAAATAACTCTTCTGGGTGATTGATAAAGACCATAGAATATCCAGACTCTTTATAGTCAAATAACTTTCCTTTCATAAACATATAACTGAGAACATACCTACAATCTCATGCTTATTCACTTTGTTCCTGCACAGGATTCTCCCTATTAACATTTCGGGATCTTCCTCTTTCTGCGTCACTTCAGGCAGATCATGCTGACAGGCACTCAGGATCCTGAAGAAACCTCCCTCTCTCTCAGCCATTGTCCCTCACTCACACAGAGAGAAGAGCAGAAAAAGCAGTTTAAAAAATGACAGTTTCTGGAATAACAGTCACAACGGAATGGAATGCCTTTCCCATGTGACTCACAGTCAGCCAATCACACGAGAGAGCTACAGCCAAAGGGAAAAAATACCATACTGAAAATACACAGCAAATCCACCTAAGCAAACATTCCCATTTCAGGAAATTAAATCGTTATCCATAACAACCGTGGTCTCTTTCTCCCCACGCTCTCAGGTGCCGCGAGAAGTGCCCCATCGGCCGCTACGGGCAGGACTGCGGGCAGGAGTGCGACTGCGCCAACGGCGGGCGCTGCTTCCACATCAACGGAGCCTGCCTCTGTGAAGCCGGCTTCCTGGGCAGCCGCTGCGAGGAGCGAAAGTGCCTGCCAGGTCTCCACGGCCTCTCCTGCCACCTGCCCTGCCTCTGCCACCCGCACCACACACAGAGGTAGGCGGGCAGGTGCCCCTCTTTCTCCTTTTGGTCACCTGCAAACCTGAAGCCTAGAATGAGACTTCCAGGTGGAAAAGAAGCTCTGGAAACTCCCCTTGCCCTCCCTGCCCTCTTTATTTGTACAGAGGCTGCCTGGATCTCTCTTGGCCCAGCCCTCCTTCAAGAGCAAGGTCCCACCTGAGTCCTCCTGCTCTGCCCCCTGGCAGGGGCGTCCCTGCGGGAGACGGGCTTCTCCACTGATCTGTTCCCATTTGGCAGATGGGGAAAATTTGCCTTTTGCACCCCCTGCCCCCCACAAAGCCCTTCTTCTCTGGGCCTCCCCCCTCCCCCCGGCCTCCAGGCTCAGAGAAGCTAGAAGCTGTCGAGGGAAGATGTCCGGGAGCAGCCATCATCTCCCTGTTTGCCCCCCCCCCCCCAGCTGCCACCCACTCTCGGGAGAATGCACCTGCAAGCCGGGCTGGGCAGGACTCTTCTGCAACGAGACCTGCCCCCCTGGGCACCACGGCTTTGGCTGCCAGGAGCCCTGTTTGTGCCTGAACGGAGGGACCTGCGATGGCGAGACGGGGCTCTGCGCTTGCCCGCCAGGCTACATGGTGAGTCCCCCTCGGAGGTCCCTGGGCTTCCGTCCTAGGCAGACGGCTAGATCTAGCATGGGCAGGAAAGGGTTGTGCCCCACTGGCAAGCAGAGCCTGGATCGTGTATTTGAAGGGGAGGGTGTGACAAATTGGAACTGCAAGTAAAATCGCTCTCCTAACCCACAGCCTGATGGCCACTCTGAAGGTCCTGTGGGCTTGCATTGCCAGGTGGGGCAGGCAGGAAACAGATTGGGGGGGGGGGTCTCAAAAATTTTAAAGGGCCATTTTCAGGAGAGAAAAACTTGGGCATCCTGATAGGGGGTCTCACCCCTGGTTCTGTGCTGGAATATTTTCCTCCCCTTGACGCCAGTGTTAAAGGAAAACTCCTGGCTCACTTGGATTTGCCAGACAAAGACACCAGCTAAGAGTACTGGAGCAAAACAGCAGTCTGTAGGCCTGATTTTTATTCAAGGAACTGTTGCAACAGGACTTCCAACTACCACATGGAAGAAGCAGAAAGAAGCCCTGCACAAAGGATGGCTCGCTGTTTTATAAGTTTCCCCTTTTACCCACAACACCCTGAGTTGAAACATCACACATACATCATATACACAGCTATGTCATAATCTGGGAGGGGTCTTCTGGCAGAAACCTGAGCATCAGGTTTGCCCCCATCCCTCCCTTGACCTCCACCTCACACCCATTAAGTAAAACAAAAGGTGAGTATGTACATGTTCCTGTTCTCCCGGTCAAGATAAGCACACCCCTGGATCTAACCCTAACCCTAACCCTAATAAACTGAAGTTGGGTTTCTATTGTTTCTGGAATGGCTACCTGTGTCTGGCACTCAGAGGCCAGGATGCCAGCGATTGTCACCCTGGCAAGGAAGCTGCTGAGTACCATGGTCTCAGGCTTGAGGGATTATGGCTGCTGACATCCCAGACTCCCCTCTTGGTAGCCATTTCCTTCCTGAACAGAACGAAGTTGGAATGGTGCAAATCCCATACTGACTTTCTAAAATTTTCCCATTGAGCCAATACTTAGATACATTTATCAGTGAACTGTTGCATTTTGTAATGTGCAGTGGAGGCCCTTTGAATAGAGATAGGAAGAAACTGTGTGATGAAGTGTTTTGAGGGAACATTTGCAGGAGTGATTGTGTTGAGTTTGGTAGTTGGGGGGTATGATGTCTGCTGGAGGGGCAAGCCCCCCAACCTTTCCATAAATTCAGGTAACACCAGAAAGGAAAGGGGTGCATTGGGGGGATTGTCCCCCCAGCTGTGCGTGGCCCCTCCTTCCCCTCACGCCCATCTTGTGCCCTCAGGGTGCCCACTGCTCCAGCCACTGCCCTCCTGAGACCTTTGGGGTCAACTGCTCCCTGCCTTGCACCTGCCACAACGCCCTCGCCTGCTCTCCCATTGACGGGACCTGTGTCTGCAAGGAAGGTAGGAAAGGTGGTGGGGAGACATGGGGTGTGGGGAGGCAGCAGGTTACGGGAACCTGCCTTTAGGGGTACCTTGAGGTCATCTGGAGTTATTTCCCTTGGCCAGGCTTGGCATGCTCTGCTAGTGCAAAGCATAAGGAGGGGGCAGAAAATCCAAGGTCCATTTCTGTGTGTACCTCTGTTCTCCCTCTCTCCCCCTCCCTGCCTTGGGCACCTTGTTTTCTGCCAATTTTGCCTCCCCAGGTTGGCAAGGCACAGACTGCTCCCTCCCCTGCCCCGCAGGCACCTGGGGCTCTGCTTGCAACGAGACCTGCCGCTGCGCCAACGGAGCTTCCTGCAGCCCGGTCAGTGGGGCATGCGCATGTGCGGCAGGCTGGCATGGCCGCCAGTGTGAGGAGCCCTGCCCGGTAGGTAGCCCTTGGGGAAGGGAGGGGAAGGAGCAGGGTTAAGCTGCCACCAATATATAAACAGATTCCTTTGGGGGGCTGCTGTGGCTGTCCCGGGAGAGGCACTGAGCGGGGGGCTTTCTCCACTTCCTTTTCCAGGTCCCCCCACTGCACCATGTGGGCAGTTTCCCCCTCTCCTCTTTACATGGCTCAACTCGGGGCATGGGAGCTGGGCATCACCCTGCTTCTGGCAAATGGATTGTAGTGGGGTGGGCAATTGCCCCTGTCTGTTGCCAAAGCTGAGGCTGCCAGCTCCTTGTGTGCCCAGTCTGGGTGATCCAGGATCTGCCTGACAGGAACAGAGCTTCTCAAAGGGCTGCTTTCTGACCCGTATCACTGCAGAGCTGGGGTGCCCCCTGGGCACACCTGTGGAGCGGCCTCCTGCCTTGGCACCTGGGCACCTGGAAGAGGGCTATGCCTCTTGTGCATGAGACATCTTGCCTGACGAGTGGGGGAGCGGGGACTTGCCAGAGTTGTGCAGGGGATGGTGGCGGGACAGTCCCTCCTTTCCAAATCCAGGGGTGGCTGGCGAAGAGGGATAGAACCACTAGTGGGGAGATTTCTCTTGTGCCTTCCTGTCCACTGCACGGCTGAGCAAGCCCCCTTCTCTCTCCCTCCTTCCCCCAGGAAGGCTTCTACGGCCTCAGCTGCAGCAGCAGGTGCTCCTGCCAGAACGCAGAACGCTGTGATCCTGTTCTGGGGCAATGCCACTGCCTACCTGGGTGGACAGGTGAGCAGGGGCGGGGCTCAATCTCCCACCTGCCGTGGGTCCTGGGCTGGAGAGGGTTAGGGGTTGTCAGGCAAGGCTGGGGTTCCAGCCACCTGTGAGTGGCCTAAGGGCAAGGCAGGCCTGCTGGAGGAACCCTTCCTTCTTTCAGGGTGATCTGAAAGTGGGGCATGTTGACATCAGTCCCTTGTCAGGGAAAGATCACTTCCTGTTGAGATGGAGGCTTTCTTCACCTTTTCACCTTTGCAGAGGTGCGGGGGGCACAGACCCCTATGAGGATGGGCCACCCTTGGAGGCTGATGGATCCAATGGGTTTCCAGACAGCTCAGGGGGGTTTTCCAGCTGATACGACTGGCGCTCCTGTTGAAGCCCTGGCCAAAATGTGGACTATCCTGATAGGCGGCTCAAATGCTAGTGGAGGGAAAGTCTGGTGAAATGCAACTGAACCTGGTGAGGGAGCCTCCCGAGTGGCAATGAGAGCAGCAAAGGCCTGCTCACTCTGCTGTCCTGCAGAGCTTTTCTTACAGTCTGGCCTGACAAAGGTGGCAGAGTCTGCAGGATCTCACTGTGACTTGTTTGCGAAGCATTTTCAGTGTAAAATCTCTTGGATCCACCAGAATCTTGACTCTGCTGTTAAAGCAGATGAACCTCATGGGGTGTCCAGAGCACAGTCTAGCCCTGTGGTGATGGATGAGTTTCAGTTAGTAAGAATGTAGAGAAGGTACTTGGAGAAGGTGCTTTGGAAACTTCAGCTGGTGCAGACGTTGGTGGTCAGGCTAAACTACCCTGTAGCTGAAGGGCAGTATAGAAATTCAATAAAATCATAAATATATACATTTCCCCGCAAACTTTGCTTGCTAAACCATGACTTGCCTTGCATTTCCTTCAGTGCCTCAAAAAAGCAATTGTCCTAAGGCCATGTGATGATGATGATGATTGTAATTAATAATACTAATAATAGCCTAAAGGTCTGTCACAGGAAGATGAAACAATCTTGTTTTCTGCTGCTCCAGAGGGGAGGACCTGAACCAATGGATTCAAAATGCTAGACAGGAGTTTCCAACTAAATATTAGGAATTACCTTTAGTTCACCACTGACAGAAGATCATTATGTGGTGACTGATACAGGTAATCTGACTATTAATCTCAGTCTGGAGATCAGAGTAATCATGGAGAACCTCAAATGTTTTGATGAAGGCTGTTTTCTGCTGTCTGCACCTGGGGGCTTGGGCAAGGGCTAAAAGATCTGGCAAGCTGAAGAGCATCCAGCGCCATGTAAGCACCCTTCGTGGGTAGAAAGATTGGCATCCTCTCTTAATAAATTGTGGGACAAGAAAAATGGCAAATTGGAGATTTATCTGTCTGCTGGTGAAAATCTACAATCGGAAAACTGGTAATAGCCGTTTTCTGTCTCTACAAAGAAGGGGAAACGGGCTGTTAAAGTGTCTAAGGCAGAGTGAAAAGCCTGATTTTTTTGGGGGGGGGGAGTTGGGCTAGATGATCCTGGATGTCCCACCCAACTCTACAATTCTGATTGTAGTCTAAGGCTATGATGATTCTGTGAGCAATCCATGCCTCTAGGATTCCCTCCCTGCTGTCAGCCACTCGCAGGTGGTGCTGAGCTGCTTCCTGCTCCTTTGTTCCCCAGGCCCCAATTGCAGCCAGGAGTGCGCAGACGGCCTGTGGGGGCCCAACTGCAGCCAGCTATGTCTCTGCAAGAACGGGGCCACCTGCTCCCCCAGGGATGGGAGCTGCAACTGCCCCCCAGGCTTCCGGGGTGCCACCTGCCAGCGCCGTAAGTAAGCTAGCCAGCCTACCAAGAGAGCCAGCCCAGATGGGCTGAGTCTCGGTGGGCTCAGTGGTGGCCCTGGCTGCCAGGGCAGACTGCCCTCCCCACGGGGACAGGCGGTGGGAAGCCCAAGAAGTCTGCTGCTCTGGCACTGAGCTCCCTCTCTCCCCCCCCAGCCTGTCAGCCAGGGCGTTACGGCAAGAAATGCTCTGTGCCCTGCAAGTGTGCCAACCACTCCATCTGCCACCCAGTGGACGGTTTGTGTGATTGCCCTCTTGGCTGGACAGGCAGTGACTGCTCCGAACGTGAGTTATCCACTTGTTGGAAGGAGACAATGCGGAGAGGAGGGGGAGAAACCTTGGCACACGGCCAGTCCTGGGCACAACCCTCTTGCTGGCTGCTGTGCCCCAAGGGAGGGTGGCTGTGCTACCTGGCTGTGGAGGAGGAGGAGGACCCACCTGGCCTGTGTAGCTGGGCTCTGCCTACATTTCAAATGAAGGGCGACCCACCCGCCGCCTCTGTGCCTGCTCTGCTTTCTCCACAGGCTGCCCTGCAGGGTTCTTTGGGGCCAGCTGCACCCAGCGGTGCCAGTGTAGGTGGGAGGCCCCCTGCGAGCCAGACTCCGGGAGGTGCTTGTGCCCCTCTGGCTATACTGGAGCCCACTGTGAGACCCGTAAGTACGAAGAGGCCCCCGCTTCCCTCTCTCCGCTCCCATGAGTGAAAGGGGCTCTCACCTGCGAGGAGGAGGAGGAGGCTTCAGCTGTGATTCCTGCATTACAGGGTGGGAGGTTTGGACTGGATGAGCCTTGGAGAACCCTTCCAATGCTAAAACTGTGGTTTGAGGAGCAGGAGGAGGAGGAAGGGGGTGGCAGGTCAAAGTGCCCCTTGGGCATCCACCACAATAGACTTTTGTGAGCAGAGACAGGTGCGGAGAAACTGAAATGGCTCTGCTCAGGTGGGGAGGTGAGAAGATCTCCTCCTGTCTGCCAGTCTCTAAATGGTGGAGGGTAGGTGGTCCCCTCTGAACCCAGGAGGAGAGAAGCTCTTGGAGGGGGGAGCTTGTCCACCCTCTTCAAGAGATGGGGGTCCCCATTTCTGGCAAGAAGGTGCAACTCTGCTGCCTCCCTGTGCAGGTACACTCGACCCGCCCCCCCTGACCATGGTTCCTGCCATTCCTGCTGGCAACCCCTCCCTGGGGGCCGTGATGGGCATCGTCACCCTGGCTGTCCTGCTGGTGGGCATGCTGGCGGCCTTCCTCTTTTACCGGCACTGGCAGAAGGACAAGGAGCATCGCCACATGGCTGTGGCCTACACCACAGCGAGGATGGATGCCTCAGAGTACGCCGTGCCAGGTGAGGAATGCCCCGCCTGGCTCTCTCTTCACGCCACCCTCACAAAGCAAGACTCAAGTCTTGCAGAATGTTCTGACAGTAAGAACGGACTCCCCTGGAAGGTGAAGAGGTCTCCTTCCTTGGAGGTTTTTAAGCAGAGGTTGGGCAGTCACCTGCCAGCATGGCCACCCTATAGTTTCGTAGAGGGTTGGACTAGATGACACTTGGGATCCCTTCCAACTCTGCTATTCTGTGATTCAGCTCTACAATATCTATGAAATTGGGCTGGGGCGGGATGGTGAGGGCGGTGAATTTCCAGAGAATGGGGGGCTTTTGTACTGACCTGTCTCCGTCTGCCTTTCTGCCTAGACGTCCCTCCCAGCTGCACCCACTACTACTCCAACCCCAGCTACCACACCCTGTCGCCCTGCTGCCCCAGCCTCCCCTGCCCCAGCCCCCCTGAGCAGCCTGGCCCCAGCAAGGTAAGGATCTCTCCGGGGAGTGCAGCTGTGGCCTTGGGCCTTTCACCTGGCGAGGGCGTTTGGGCATTCATTATGCAGTAGGCCCACAACTTACATGGGGGCTACATTCTGGGGGTTTGTGCACAAAGGCAAGACCCCTGGAAGGGACAGGAGGCCTTGGTGAGATCTCAGGCGGCCCATTTCAACTGCTCTCTCCCCACTTGGCATTCATTCATTTATTCCTGGACCACTGACACAAAGCTGCCATTTCGTTAAGTTGCGGGTCTACTGTAATTTACAGCATAGGATTACAAAATTGCCAGGAAGTTGGAAAATAAAGAAACGCATGTCTAAAGGGACATTTCCTCTCCCATTTCTGAGAGGTGCTCAGGGATTGGGCTCTTTGCTGCAGGAGGCAGAACTTCCAAAGTGGTGGCAGCGTCACTTTCCTCCTTTTTTACTGCACAAAAAGTCCGCTCACCAGTCTGGGCACCTGTGTGCAAACCAAAACCCAAGTAGCTGTAATGTCTGGCTTCTTCTGATTTGCACCCCTGGAGGGGGCCAGCTATGGTGCCAAGTGCGGCTTCTGGAGGGTACAATCTTGGTCACTTGCAAACCGCAGCTGGCATTAGACATGTTGCTGAGCCCCACTTGGCTGTGGTCAGTAATAAAGACAGACACTTTCCGGGAGACGTGCCTGGAGCACAGAGGCCACGTGCTTAAACATGGACCCGGAAAGGGAGCCCCAAAACAAGCCCCACCCCAAGGCAGGAATTTCATCTGCCAGGCCCTTGCCCATTCCACCCCTAGCCTTCGCAGATGTCTTGGATAAAGAATCTTAATTGTTGGAGAGAAACTTTTGTTTGAGTTAGGGTCCCACGCGGTCTGGCGCCAGGGTGACTGCCTGTCTTCTTCCCCCTCCCCAGCTGATCAGCAGCACAAAGAGCCTGGAGCGAGACTGGCCGGGAGTGTGTGGGGCCGACTGCAACGCCACGCTGCCCGCTGACTGGAAGCACCACAGGGCCACTCCAGCGGAGCCAGGTAAGGCTGTGGCATCTCCCTCCTCCTCCACCACGAGCCCTGGGCTGAGGCAAAGAGACCCATCTGTGCCCGTCACTCAGGAACACGGCCACTTTTTCACAGAGTGCCCTTGTCCCTGTTGCCGCTCCTGTAGAGACCCTTCCCCAAAGGGCAGCCACCCCAGCACACATTTCTCCCTAACGGGTTTGGCCTTTCCTGCAAACCTGGAGGCCTCCCTGGAAATGGGGGAGCAAGGAATGCTCCAGAACCACCTTCAGCAACTTGATGGACCCCACATGGCAGCAGGTGTCGCTGTGAGGCTTCACATGAGTCTGTTTCCACCATCAGCTGGTCAGGGTGTCCTCTCCTCCACATGTGCTGTGCCAGGTCTGAACCCCACTGATAGGTTCTGGGGCTCAGACCCAGTGAGCTTCACCCAAGAGAATCCCTCCCCCTCCTGGACTCCGTTTCCTTTTCTGCAGGAGGCCCCCAGATGGACCGCAGCTACAGCTACACTAACGGACTTGGAAGGTATTACAGCACAGGTAAGAGCATTGGCTGCCTGTGGAGGGCACAGCATAGCCATCCTGGCGAGTAGCCATTGATAGGCCTCTCCTCCCCCACGAATTTGTTTTCTCCTCCATCCAGGTTGGTGGTCCTCACCTCCTCCTGTGGGAGGGAGTTCCACTGATTAACTATGCCCAGCATGAGGAAACTCCTATCTGTCCTGAATCCTCCAAAAATCGGCTTCCTTGGGACGTCCAAAGGTTCTGGTGTTATGAGAGAGAAAAACTTTTCTCTGCCCACTTTGCCTCACCATGCATCATTTTATGCTCTCCAATCATCTCTCCTCCTCCTCCTTTCTCTAAAGTGAAAAGCCCCAAATGCTGCAACCTTCCTTCACAGGGGGGTCGCTCCAACCCTGGATCGTTCTGGTGGGCCCTTTCTGGCCTCACTTCTGCCTGGTGCCACCAAGTCCAGGGCGGGGTCTGCGGCTGCCCTTCAGGGGGCCCGTGATACTGCTCAAAGCCCCTCCCTGACCCCTCAGCCCTCCTCCCCTTCCAGGCTATGCCAAGGAGGAGACCTTGTACCGACGGAGCGACAGTTCCCTGAGCAGCGAGAACCCCTATGCCACCATCAAGGACCTGCCCGTCCTCACAGGGAAGCCCTCGGAGGGAAGCTACATGGAGATGAAGTCCCCCGTCAAGCGCGAGATGTCCTACGCCGAGATCGGCCTCTTTGAGGAGGCTGCCCAGAGCCTGCAGGAGGAGGAGGAGGAGGAGGCAGGAGGTATTGGGGGGGGTTTTATGGCTCTCATTTCCCTTCTTGGTGGCAAGGGATGCAGCTGAGTGCCAGGCAGAGAGGGACTCCCTGCCTGGACTCCTGGAGAGCTGCGGCTGCCAGTCAGTGTAGACGAGCCTGAGATGGGCTGTTGGTCTGGTTCAGCAGATGGCAGCTTCCTCCGTTCCTCAACATTTCCATTTTTGCAACTGGGCTGAGGTTCCCCGTGCCCTCACTTTGCGCCCTCCTCTGTGTCCCGTGGAAACGCTGACCTCCTTCTCCCTCTTCCTCTTCCCATTCCAGGCAGCTGCTCGGCTGGCGCAGGAGGCATCTCTGCACACGCAGCCTCCACCCTTCCCCCCAACCACTACGACTCCCCCAAGAACAGCCACATCCCTGCCCACTACGACGTGCCCCCCGTCAGGCACTACCCGCCATCGCCCCCCCTCCGCAGGCAGGACCGGTGAGGAGGGCCAGAGCCCCCTGCCCCCCCCGCCTTCTCAGGGAAGGACTGAGTTCCAATTGGCTCAGCAGCAGCAGCAGGACCTTCATCCCTCCGGGCACCAGGCTTCTTTGCAGCTGCCATGGGGGCAGGACGTGGCGGATCTGGGCCCCAGCGCCACTAGAGGAACCACTTTGCCCAGTCTCCTGGGCTGGCATTTTGACTAGCTGGGATCATTTCCCAAGGCAGCCACCAGCAGAGGCACAGCATCAAGGGGACGGCTGCTTGGCTCCTTTCCAGCGCTTCTTGGGTGGGGGCAGATGTCTCTGTCTCTTCCCTGCCCCCAACTTCAACAGAGACTAGCCACTTCTTCAGTCCCATGAAAGAAAGCAAAGTGGGGCAGGGGGAAAGCACCTTATAGGCCAACAGGGGGTTGCACCATGTACAGAGATCACCTTCATTAGAATCATAGAACTATAGAGTTGGAAGGGACCCCAGGGGGTCATCTAGTCCAACCCCTGCAATGCAAGAATCTCAACTAGAGCATTCCGGCCAGGTGGCCATCCAACCTCTGCTTTAAAACCTCCAAGGACGGAGAGCCGCCACTTTCTGAGGGAGTCCGTTCCACTGTCAAACAGCTCTTACCATTAGAAAGTTCATCTCAGTGAACTCCTATGTTCAAAGGAATTGTCTCCCCCCCCCCCCTGCATTTTATAGCAGCCCCCTTCTTGAGGCCTGCTGCGTGTTTGCACTGTCTTTCGCTCTGGATTACAAGGTGCAACAAGGACGACCCTTTATTTCAAGAATCCCTTTCCCCAACCACAGCTTGCAATCTGCCTTCCCAAAACTGTCTCCTGGAAGGTCCAAACAGGCAGTTTCAGTCTTGCTTATTTTGCAGCAGGAAAAGGCTTAACTGAGGATGAGCCAGCAGAACTCAGAAGCCTGACTTCCTTGCAGGAGTCTGTAAATCCATGTACAAAGGGGTCACATACACTCTGTAAGCCAAGTTTTGCGCTGTCAGAAACTCTTGAAAAGTCTTCAAAGATCAATGCGCCAGGGAAACAGGGCACCTTTTCCAGTCAAAAGCCCACATTCCTTTATGAACCTTAGAGGCACCACATGAGCACAGTGGGGATGCCCAGAGCTGGAGCAGATGCACTTATATCACACACGTGTTTTTGTGTGTGTCCGTGTGAGGGAAAAATCTTCATGGAGCCAGCAGCTGATGCAGAGGAATAACCCCTCTCACCGCAGCGACACTCTCTTGACACACACCGCTGCAGTTGGGCTAATTATAAAAACCACCTGGTCCCATTAGAAACTTAATTCCTATGGGAGGGAGGTTGGTTTCAGTTCTTCATGCTGGAAGCAAGTTTTAGCAGAGCTGCCTCTTGCAATGCTGATAAAAGAGGCGCCCATTGGGCTCACCTGGACATCTCTACAGGAAAACAAACTGGTTTATTCAGAGTTCAAAGGCTTGCACTTCACTTTGTGGAAGCAGCCGATCACATCCAGCAATAACAAAAGCACCTTTGCAGTAATGGGGGAGAGGAGGAGCAGCTCATGCAGCCCACCCACCCACCCACAGCCAGCTCCAGAGATGGGGCTCTTATGATTATACCCTACTTTTCTTCCAGCACAGAATCCAAAGCAGCACAAATGGTTGCATGGAGAGAGGATCCCCCCCTCCAGGGAGTGACCTCACCTGAACCCCTTAGTTTCAGCAAAATACTGACCCCCCAGTGCTTCTAGTCCACATCTGGGGAGGCCAGTGAAACTGCAGGATCTCGTCTGTGACAAGGAGCAGGCATTAGGACTGAAGTGGCCACTTGGTCTGAAGAGATCCTTGCAACAGCTGGGAAAGTGCAGTGGGGAGGAGGCCCCAGCTGCCGGGCCAGAATCTGGGACTTTGCAAAGTAAGGCCACACTGGATGGGAGACTTCCTAGGAAGCCTCTCTCAAGGCAGTTAGTTACTCTTCTATTTATTAAAAAAAAAGTATGCCAGTCTGGGTGCCATTCTGGAAGAGAGGTGAGATATAAAGGAAAGAAGGTAACTCCTCTGGAGTGGCTGTGGGGATGAACACATTTGTGGCCCCTCATCCCCAACACACCCAGAGTCAGGAATGGGCTGTGGGAGAGTCTGCTCGTCCTTCGACCTTCCCAAAGCCAGGGAGCTCTTCAGCCAGTCCATTTGGCCTTCAGCTTCCTTCACAGGCGCTGGCTGCACCTTTTAGCCCCACGGCCCAGGAGTTCACTTGTGCACCAGTCCCACAAAGGAGCGTGAAATCCCTGGGCAAGGCTGCCACAGGGAGCCTAAGTGGATCTCTGGCTCCTGGACCGCTGAGGAGAGCCAGTTTGCCCCCAGCAGAAGGATGGCAAATGCTCCCCACGAAGCCACAGCCCACAGTGATGGGGGGCAGGGAGGAGGCTGCCCACAGCACCCCCCTGTCCAAAGTGGCTGAAGGGAGAAATGCCTGCAAGGCAACCGGCAGGCGGCCAGAACGGGCCAAGGCCCTCGGGAAGAGAAGGAGCGCCCAGTCAAGTCATCTGCTCCTAAAAAGAGACTCCATCCTGTCACCCTGAGGGAGTGTCACCAGGTGGTCCTCCTCCTGGAAGGGGTCCTTTCTCCGCTCCAGCCGCCATGGTAGGCAGCCCAGAAGCATCCTGGCTTTTCCGCAGGTCGCAAAGAGGGCAAGGGGGGGGTCTCCTGTGAGGTGGGCCCCAGGGTGGTGCCCTTCTTCAGAGGCCCACCTTCCCATTGGGTTGGCAGAAGTTTGTAGGCTGGCTCTGCAAGGGGTCCCTGCCAAGGCCCAGAGCGAGGAGTGGGTTGCCGTTGAGGATGGGGGCGCCCTGAGGGGGGGCCGGCGCAGGTGCTGCTTCCTCCTCCTCCTCCCCACTCAGAAGTAGCTGCTCCGTCTCTGTGTCCGAAGCCTCCCAGGAGCTGCAGCATTTGTTCTCCAGGCTGTAGAAGAAGGAGTGGGTGCGGAAGGCGGCGCTCATGTCGTCCTTGATGCTCTCCAGGATCTGGGCGAAGGTGGGGCGGAGGCGGGGGTTCTGCTGCCAGCACCAGGTCATCAGCTCGTGGCTGGAAGATCCACAAGGGCGGGAGTGGGGTGGAGAGTGAGAACGGCAGGGGGTCACTTCCCCCTCCACTACTGCACCACCCCCACCCCAAAGGCTCCACAAGGCAGCCTTGACACCAGCCTGCTGCTGGCTCCCAAGAGGAGGAGTGTTTCAAGCCGCCTTGCTGTGGGGGCCCAGACGGGGAGGCCCCCACAGGCCATGCACAGCCCAAGGACTGCCAGTAAGGGGCCCGAGGGGAGGGGAGGGGGAGGGAGGCGCATCTGCCTTTGCACAGCCCAGATGCTACCTGGATGGATGGACTGACAGACAGACAGACACTGCTGGGGCGCTTACAGCTTCTGGGGACAGTTCTCTGGCTTCTCCAGGACGCCGTTGTCCATCACGAAGTGCAGGACCTGCTCGTTGGACATGCCCTGGTAGGGCTGCTCAGCCAGCGTCGCGATTTCCCACAGCACCACCCCAAAGGACCTGCAACAGAAGAGTCAGCCTCTTCCTCCTTGCCTCTTGCCACAGGGCACAGGTAAGGAGAGGCGCCCAGGACAGCCACTGTGCACAGGTGGTCTTCGCAAGGTTTACGGTGGGAGGGAGCAGACAGGCCCCCCACACGAGGGTCCAAACCAAGATGCTGCTCAAGTGAGGGCCTCCGCCTCCTCCCTCTGCCCCACAAAGACCAACAAACAAGACGTGGCTCACTAGAGAGTGCCATGAGCAGGAGCCACACCTGCCACCCTCAGCCTCTGTCACACACATCCTTGAAAGTACCTGCTTCCAATCCCAGATTATCCTTGAGTGAAAATACCATGGAAGGGCAAACAAAGGTGACAAGGTGTGCCAGAACTCCCTGGGACTGGAAACCTGCCGCCCCCGCCCCCTGCCGCTCTGGAGGACAAGCCTGCCCCTTCCTCTCCCAAACACCCACCAGATGTCCGAGTGCGTGTTGAAGAGGCCGTCCTTCAGGGCTTCCGGGGACATCCAGCGGACAGGCAGCAGACCTTTCCCCCCTTTGCGGTAATAGTCCGTCTCATAGATGTCCCTGGTCATGCCGAAATCTTTTGAGGGGAACCAAGATGAAGAGAATTTGGCAGGGAGGGAGACGGCAGCAGTCAGAGCTGCAGTTGGAGCTGCAGAGAGCCCTCGGGGCAACAGGAGGTCTGGTCCAGGGAGGCCGGGGCCACCAGAAACGGGGGAGGGGATTGTTGCTGCAGCAGCAAACAAACACTGCTACCCCCCTGGGCATCCGAGCCTCAACCACGACCACCTCTACTCGTAGAGAATGACAGTGATAACACCCCTGAACCCCAGCCTGGCCTCACCCCCAATCTTCACAGTGAAGTCCTCTGACACCATGCAGTTGCGGGCAGCAAGATCCCGGTGGACAAACTTCTTGGCGTTCAGGTAGGCCATGCCATCCGCGATCTCGCCAGCCATCTGGATCATGTCCCTCAGCGATGGGGGAGGCAAGCCAGGGTTATTCTAGGAGAAAGAACCACAAAATAGCCTGTCCCAGGGCAGGGGGGAAGAGACCAACAGGACCTCTTCTCTGGGAAAATTTCCTCAGCCACTCCCGGAGAATGCCATGCGCTCAGTCTGTCTCCATACTTTGGTTTGGTCTTCCAGCTACTATTCGAAGCTGGCAAAAGCCGGCAGGCAAGGAGACCCCAGACTGGACGCCACCCTCCAAGATGGGAAAGGAGTTTATGAACTCCCTCAGTGCCCTGGGCAATGGAACTTCAGCACAAATGAAAGCCCAGCTTCCCATAGCGTAATGTGGGCAATCCCCACCCTCTGGCTTTGGACTGTATTGGCGACACGTTGCTCTGCTGCAAACAGGTGCAACTGCTTCTCCACCCAAGCAGGCTGCTTTGCTTGAGCCCTGGAGGAAAGCCTGGGGGGGCTCTGCACGTCACTCACCTCAGCTTCCGGCCTGAGGGAACGGAGGTAGCTTTTCAGGTCCCCCCTCGTCATCAGCTCCATGATGACCAAGGCAGGCTGGCCCTGGGAGACTACGCCAAGAAGACGGACCTGAGAGCCAGCAGAGATAAAAGAGGCCAGCTGGCATGTAGAGGACGCTCTCAAAGTGCTCAGCGCACACACAGGAGGGGGGTCCAGTAACCCTAACGCCACCCCCACAGAGTAGGCCAGTATTAGCATTCCCACACTGCGGAGTTGAATGGGGCAGGATGAGCACCTGGCAGGTCACCTCCAACCCTCTAGCAGAGCAAGACGGGGGCAACGACTTTCCCTCTTTGCATTGCTGCAGTTGGTTATCCAAACACCAACTTTGGCACACCCCACGTCATCCAACCACATGGAAGCTGAAATCTAGCCTGTTCCTCTCTGGGAATCCAGGCAGGGCTGCCCTGAGGTATTTTGCAGCAGACGCTGCCCACCAACCCACAGATCAAGTTGCATAATCCCCAAGGCTGATCAAGTTATTTTGGCACCCGAGGCAGAATGTCCCACGAGTGTCTCCCCCAGGGAACAAAGCACAACAATAGCAGCTCTGGTACCATATGCTGCTTTTCTCCTCAGCTGTCCAAGGGGAGGGCCGGCCCACTTACCACGTGGTGGCACCTGAAGGCTTTCATGACCGAGGCCTCATTCAGGAACTCGATGCGCTCCCGCGTGGTGGCCAGCTCGTTGACCGTCTTCAGGGCCACCCTGGTCTTCTCTCCCTCCTGCTCAATGTCCTTGGCAAGCCCTTCGTAGACCATCCCAAAGGAGCCCTGGCCCAGCTCCCGCAGCACTGTTATCTTCTCCCGCGGCACCTCCCACTCGTCCGGGACGTACACTAGCCAAGGAGAGGCACCGAAGGAAAAGCACAAAGCACTCAGTGTGGGGCACACACATATGCCCCCTGGAGGCAAGGCTGGGGGGCCTGGAAGGTGGTGGAGTGGCAAGGCCAAGGGTAGAATCAGGTGGGGAGTCCTCGTGCAGAAGCCCTGCTGCAACACTGAGCGGGGGGGGGGGGGGGCACAGCTGCTGCTTCCCCAACCTGCTGCCCTCTAAAAGAACTGGACCAAAACTTCCATCAGTCCCAGCGTGGCCAGGGATGATGATGCAAGCCGGGAGTCCAGGACAACCTGGAGAGCCCCCGGCTAGGGACAGGGGAGGCTTAGGGCATCAGCAGCAGCACCAGTCAGTTCCATAGCAATGCTCCACCTTTGCCCTCACAGACAGAGGGTGCCCCTGTGGAAATGGTGTCCTGCCCGCCTCTGCCTCTGCCTTCGAAAGGTGAGCCGTACTCACTGTTTGAGGTGCTGAAGTATTCAGGGTTGACTGAGGCGTACAGCGTGCCACTGGGGTATCCCTCTGTGCTTCTGGGAGGGAGAGACAAAGGGCTCAAGGTCCTTGGCATGGCAGTGGCGGTGAGTTCCCCTCCCCCTTAGGACCCTCCTGTGGGATTTTGGCCCAACGTCATTGCTGACCTGGTCCATGTCAAGTTAAAGCAACACTTCTCTGCCAGTAGAAAGTGTGAGCCGACCCTTCCCCAGAGAAGGTTCTGGAAGGGACACACACTGACCATCAGCCAGGCTGGCTCTTGGGGGATGGAGACCCATAACATCTGGAGGGCCACAGATTCTCCACTCCGTGTTGCGGGGGGGGGGGGACACCTCTAACAGCGCCAGTGTCCTGCCGGTTCCATATTACCTTTTCTTGTTGTATAAGAAAACAAAGACGGCCAGGCAAGTGATCCCCACCATCAAGACAACGGGCATCAGCGTCAAGAGCACATAGAAGTTTCCGGGTTCCTCTTCCTCTACTTGTAAGGGGGTTTATGATGGAAGTAAGTTTTGGGGGGCAGAGAAAGAAACATGTAATTATTACATAACTATTTAACATTGATCAAACACTTGCCCCAATTGGGTTTGTTTGTGTGTTTTGAATATCCTAAGGGGGAATCCTGGGCCATTTCAGGCTCTTAGAAATGACATGTACACAACTCTCTCTCTCTCTCTCTCTCTCTCTCTCTCTCACACACACACACACACACACACACACACACCCCACTCAACGGCTGCTCTGAATTCCATTTGCTGGTCTGCGGCAATATTTTGTCTGCTTTCCTAACATTTGGCACCACGTGATAAAAAGGATTCTAAATTTATGCACTAAATGACCCACAGCATTTTGGTACAACTGCTGGCCATCATTTGGGCTCCCTAATTAAGTGGATGGGACATGCTAAGCCTCTGAGGAATAGAAATATTGTCCCCATAAACATCCTCCCTTCTGCGCTCCTAGAGGTGGAGAGACCACATCACTTTCTGCACAATGGCAGCCTTGATTACTGGAGACATAAAGCAGTTGCTCCCTTTTCTATTTATTAATCTCTAGACACTTGGACTGGAGTATATTGTTTTGGGAGGGGGGTGTTAAAGGGGGTTGTTACTGATTTTTTAAATCTTTATTTTAGATTTTATTATGATTTATGTGGAAATTGTCCAATTTGGCTGTGTATTTTTTAATGTTTTATTTATTGTTGGTGATTATTTCTGTAATACTGTATTTTTTCATGTTGTAAGCCACCTCGAGCATGGTTTGAACTATGGAAAGGCAGCATACAAATAAAATTATGTATTATTGTGAGTTTGTGGGAGCCAGACTACTCTAATCCCTGGATCTAGCAAGTGTTAAAATCTTAATAATAGTAATAATAATAATTTATTATTTATACCCCGCTCATCTGGCTGGGTTTCCCCAGCCACTCTGGGCAGCTCCCCAAATAATAATAATAATAATAATAATAATAATAATAATAAAGCAATAAAAGATCAAACATTGAAAACTTCCCTAAACAGGGCTACCTTCAGATGTCTTCTAAAAGTTGGATAATTGTTTATTATGGTAGGGTGTTCCACAGGGTGGGAGCCACCACCAAGAAGGCCCTCTGCCTGGTTCCCTGTAATCTTCTCGCAGGGAGGGAACTGCCAGAAGGCCCTCGGCTCTGGACCTCAGTGTCTGGCTGAGTGATGGGGATGGAGATGCTCCTTCAGGTCTACTGGGCCAAGGCCATGTGGGGCTTTAAAGGTCAGCACCAACACTTTGAATTGTGCTTGGAAACGTACTGGGAGCCAATGTAGGTCTTTCAGGATTGGTGTTTTATGGTCCCAGCAGCTGCTCCCAGTCACCAGTCTAGCTGCCGCATTCTGGATTAATTGCAGTTTCCAGGTCACTCTACGTAGCCCCACATAGAGTGCCAGGCTAGGTTCCTGGGTGATGCTCACTTTTGGGGCTGATTAGTCTCCTTTTGACACCAAGGCCCACAAAGCCACCATCTATTTATGGAAGGGGGTGAGGACTGGACTACAGCTCCTACCAGGTTTTCAGGCAGCTGGTCCTGCTGTCTCCTGGGGCTGGAGCCCAGAAACAGCAGCAGGTTCCCCTCCCCTGTTTTTATTCATCCAAGCAGCTGTGTGCTTCTCCTCTTTGCCCCAAAGGGATCTCTTTCACCATTAGCCCCCAAGGTTGCCCTGAAAGTGGCCTAAAGGAAAACTTTTTTTCTGGAGTTCCCCAGAACACCCCACCTGCCAGCATCTGGGGCCACATTTTCATGAGAAGTTAAACCAGAGATACAAACTGTTCCAGGCGTCCTTGCTTGCCCTGCCTCCCACTGCCCCCCCCCCCCCGCAACATCATCACAGGGTTTCTTCATTGTGTCACCAGATGAACCTCCCTGAACTGCCAGGGTTGCTTAGTCAAAGTCAACCATTCTCTTCCTTCTCTCTTCTGCTTGCCTTGCCCACGCTCAGCCTCCACCACCTACCCGGCCCCAGGATGTAAAACTTGATCAGTCCAGTCCACGAGCCGTTCCCTGACAGTGAAGTGGCCCGGACCTTGGCAGAGTAATTTCCAGGCTGGAGGAGGTCAAGGAGGTAGCCCCCGTTCCGAGTGTAGCGGTGGCGAGAGACGCAGACAACCGAGGTGACTTTCTGCAGGAGAGGAAGAAGGAAACCAAGGAGGAGGCAGGCGTGAGTGGTGCCTCAGGGCAGTGGCGTAGCGTGGGGGGTGCAGGGGGGCCCGGCCGCACCGGGCGCAACATCTGGGGGGGGCGCTCGCACTCGAGTGCTAAAATCCACAGGTTAGGGGGCGCAAATTACTTGCCTTGCCCCGGGTGCTGACAACCCACGCTACGCCACTGCCTCAGGGGCCTGTGGATCACTCTTTACAGTAGGCCTGTAGGTGGGGAAGTTTGAAACCCCAGGCTTGTGGCTGCTGGCGGGGGGGGGGGGCAAGGATGCAGTGGCTGCAAGTGGCAGGGTCTAGTTAACCAGAGCCAGGATGCTACTGCTGCTGGATCAGGCCAAAGGGGGACCAACTACTCCAGCATCCTGCTCCTTCTCACAGTCACCAACCAGATGCCCTGAAGGGATCTATCCCCACTGCTGGTGTTGCTGAGCACACTGCCTCTGATCCATCATGACTACTAGTAACATTAGAGAGCCTTATCCTCCATTAACAGCTCTAATCCCTCTTTGAAGTCAGTCACCATCACTACCTTGTGCGGCAGCAAATTCCTCTCTCCTGCTTGTCCTGAATCTTCAAACCTTCCGTCTCCTGCTGCTAATAAATGTTCCAGCGCTTGGCCCTGCTGCCACCACTAGGCCTCCAGCCCCTTCCTCACCTCACTCTCCCGGCTGTACTTGATCTCGTACTTGAGGATGAGCCCGTTGGGGTTCTTCGGCTCCTCCCACTTGAGGAGGACTCGGTTTTTCCCTGCTGGCTCCCAGGTCACGTTGCCAGGGATGTTGTCTGCTTGAGCTGAGCAGAGAGAGCAAAGCAAAGGAACTCCTGAGTCGAAGCCCATCACACTCTCCCTTCCTTCCACCCTTTGCCCAGGCAGGGCGAGAAGGAGCACAGAACTCTTCATAGCTCATGGGACACCTTGTGCAAAATGCTCATTCCTGGATCACATTTGCATCATTCCCAGAGCCGGACCACCCATGAGGCAGACTACGGCAACCGCCTCAGGTGGCAGAATCCAAAGTGTGACTCCACAAACAAGCCCCTGCCACCGTCACCACCAGAGAAGCGGTTGCAGCAGCTTCCAAGTTCCAGCAAGATCTCATGAGAGCCCTGCGCAACATTCCTGAGACCCCAGAAAGTGAGATGGAGTGCCTTGCTGAATGAAGTCTTGGGAAGCTGACGTGTGGCCTCTGCGTGATCTCGTCAGAACCTGGAAGCCACAGCCCCACAACTCCAGTAATCGGGGCATCAGCAGGGGCAGCAAGGGGGGGGGCAGATGCACTGGGCGACATCTTCCCATTTCACTGCAGGTGACGAATTGAGACAGGCCGCCCCGATCATTCCGGTAGGGAAGAGCCAGTTGATTCAGACGATGGACTGCACAGGCTACTTACCAGCTAGCGATGGGGACGGGAGTTGAACAAAGAGGCAGGACCAGGGCTGGCCTTACCCTGAGGCAAAGCAGGGCAGACAGGCATAAAGGGGCAGCTGAGCTCTCTGCTCCTGCCTGGGGCTGATGCCCCCCCATGTGGCTTGCTGGGGGTGCTCTCTGGCACTTACGTTCCGGCATGGTTCTGGCAAAGACAAAGGTGGCAGCGCTGCAGCCCACAGTCTGCGCAGCGTGGTTGCAGGCATGGATGTCAATGCGATACTCAGTAAAATGGCGCAGGTTAGAGATGGCCGTCCGATCCCGGACCACTTTATCCTCAAAGATGCGGAAATCCTTCTCAGTTTTGGAGCTGCTGGACCCTGTGCGGTTTGGGGTCACTCCATTCCCCAGGACCTCTGGGGACGATGTGTTGGCAAAGGCATGGCCAGGAAGAGGGGTTACGGCAAAGGTGTCCCTGCGCCTCTTTGGGATCCTGTCACAGCAAAGGAAGCAGAGAGGTGAGGCCTTGGGGCAGAGTGTGGGGTAGGGCAGGCCGGTCTGCTGGGAGATGATGTTTACCCTACACCTCAAGGTAGACGACGAGTGTCATGCCCAGCCCTTAGTCCATAGAGGACAAACCAGACACAGTCGGGTTAGAGTCCAAACTCAGTCCAGCCCCCAAACGTATTACAATAGAAAGCTGGACAGGAGTTTCCACAGTCCTTCTGCCTGTGGTACTGATTTCCCCAGGATCCCCCCAACAGTTAAGAGTGTGGGGATGTTGCCTGGGGTTTGGTAGGCAAGGGCAGGCAATAGGAAGAAGGGAAACCTCTGGTCCTGCAGGGGTGGGGGAGAGGGGAAGAGACCCCCTTTTCTTCCTAAAAGGGGTCCATTCTCTGCAGCCCAATATTGCAACCTGATAGTCTGCACTGTCTGTGCATTTTGAGAGAGCCTCCAGATGGTGGGACAAACTTGAGGCATCCCTTTAAAGAAATGTTTCTAGTCCTCAGGAAAAGCCTGAAATGTGTGAACATTCCTTTTCATTTTCAGCTACACTCTGCAGCTTACCTGTAAGAGATCTTGTTGATGGAAGTGACTTTCCAGGGGGGTCTGAAAAAGGACAAAGAAGGTGAAAATCTCTGCTTACTACCCCCTGGCTCCAGCCTTCTCCTCTGCCTCTGGTGAATATTTCAGCTGATGAGAGCACAGCCACAGGGGTGGGAGCAGGTGAGAGTTGGTGGCCCAAAACATCCAGGTTGGAGAAGGCTGAGGTTGCATGTCACTGGGGAGGGGACTCCCCACCCCCATCTCTGCCTCAGACAATATTGGAGAGCTGCTGTTGCTGCCAGTCAGAGTAGACATTACCAGGAGAGATAGGTAAAACCACCCTAACCTAGAATAAGTCAACTTATGGCAGTCTTTTCAAACTTTTTCAGACTAGCCCTGCAGGACACTTGTGGAAATAAGGCTCGGGAATCTCCAGAGCCCCAGTTGGGGGGGGGGGGTTGCTGGACTTGCAAACAGTTGACAGTGCCATTCCTGCCTAACATTTTCAGGCTCAAGATGCCCGCTCTGCAGTTGGGGAAGGAGCGCTGGGAGTCAGTGGAAGGTTTGGAGTGCCAAGACGGCAGAGAGAACCACCACCAGTTCTGACAGGTTCTCCCGCCAGCTGACCATTGCTGCTGTCAGCCCTGACTTCCGCCCGCCCACCCGCCCATGGAGTCACAATCCCAAACCCCACAGCCTGGCCTGCGCAGCTCTAGCCCCGGTCACCTGGGGATAATGATGGAATTATGCAGGAAGTTTTCAAACTTCTTCTGGAAAGAGACGGTTTCATCCCTCAGGGGGGTTTGCCCCACAGGGCTTTGACACGGGCAGCACTGCTGCTCCTCTCCATCCTCCTGGCCTTCACCATCGTCTGTGTCAAAGCGAGTGTCTGCGCTGCTGGTGGGCAGGCGGAGGCCTGGCAGGGCGAGAGGAGAGAGGGTGTGAGCAAAGGCCCTTTGGGGCTGCGCAAGGTCCATGCGCCATGGAGCAGGCCAGCCACCTCACCTTTGTGGCAATAGTCGTTGACAAACAGCTCAGAGTCCTCAGCCAGCTGCTGCCACAAGACCAAGTAGTAGGTGATGTTGCCATTGGGCTGGCTGGGTGGCTTCCAGCGGACAATGAGGTGGGACGAGGAGTTGGACATGGAGATGACGTCCCGGGGAACTGTTGGAGCTGGTCATCGACAGGAGGGCAGACAGTGTAATTGAAAGAGAGAGAAAAAAAGAGGGAGAGAGAGAACCAATATACAGAGCCAGTGTGTTGTGGCAGCTAGAGTGTCAGACTACAACCTGAGAGAGACCAGGGTGCAAGTCTCCATTCAGCTATGAAGCTTTCTGGGTGGCCCTGGGCCAGTCACTGCATCTCTCAGTCTAACCTAATCTCAGCCATCTTTAAAGTTTTGAGGTGGCCTCTGTGCAGCCCTCCATCTCATGCTAGGCCTCTTCTGCCTCCACAGAAGGGAGAGCTCCTTTCAAGGTCCCTCTGCTGCAGGCCCAGAACCCCCACGGCATCCCAGCAACTCTACTCAGAGCCCGGTCCCAGTCCAAGGAGCGGCTCTGGCACCCAGGGGTGGATGACACTGGTCACAGGCTCCTGCTCCTCCCGCCCACCCACCCGCGTTACCTGCAGGCATGGTACGGATGTAAACCACCTCGCTCTGAGCCCCGTAGTTGCGCCTCTCCTCGGCGGTGGTGAGGGTGATGGCGCGCACAAAGATGGCATACTGGGTCCAGGGCTTGAGGCTCTGCAGCACCACCCCCGGCTCCTGCTCATTGTTCAGGGGCGGCTCCACATCCACCACGTTCCAGCTGTTGGCGCCGCAGGCGTCCTGCCCAATGTATTCCGTCACGTTCTGGAAGGGCCTGGGGGATGAGGCACCCAAGGGAGGGTCAGGCCTGCAGGAGCAGCCGGGAGGGAAGGCAGCTTGGCTCCCTCCTGCCACCTCCACTGGCTCTCCAACTGCCGGGCACTTGGCAGACCAAGAAGGAGGCGCAAAGAGGTCCGTTTTGGCTTCTCACTTCCCCCACCTTCAGTTCAGTTCTCCACATTTCCACATCAGTTTGTGGATATATATTTTAAAAAGGTTCTCCTAATACACACATTCTTGCAAAGCAAGGTTCCCAATATAAGGCATTTCCTTTGGACTTTTCAATAATATATTTATTTTTATGCACACTGCACCCTCCTAGCCAGGGCTTTTCAGAACACATTCAAGTTTCACTGCAAACTGGGTCTTGGCTTGCATACGGTTCCAGAAGGGGCGGATTTGGTATCTTCCCCTTCAGGTGTGCTGGGTGTCCCCTGCAGCAGCAGCAGCAGAAAAGAGCAAATTCCCCCCCCACACACACACCTGAGGCTCCCCAAGGACTTACGATTCCTTGTAGTAGATGATGAAGCTCAGGCGGTCGTGGTACTCTGGGGGCCGGTAGCGCTCCCACTTGAGGAAGATGCGATCTGACTCAGTGGTGTTGGACACAAAGCGCAGGATTTGGGTCTTGCCTGAAATGGGGGGGGGGGTTAAAACCTGGAAGGAGTCTTGAAAACTGGCAGGGGCGAGGAGTGGGGGAGGAACACAAGTGGCTTCAGGGAGGAACAGTGGAACTGGCAAAGAGCTGGAAAATTTCATGGGCAAAGGTCAAAATGTCTCTTTCATTTCTAGCTGTGCAAATGACAAAAATCCCAAACCCTGTTTTCACTGAAAATGTTCTGGGAGAAAAAACCTGGAATAAAAGTTGGTCGGGGGGAGGGGTTGGGATGACAGCTGCTGCTGCTGCTATTGGGGTTGCAGGTTTCGACTGCGGCACCCTAAAGATTTAACAGTTTGAAGGTCTCTTGTCTTTTTGAAGCAGCAGATGAACAGGGCTGCTGCCCCTCTGAAATGGGAGACAGACCAATGAACAAAAAAGCCGGGCTCCATGAGCTCTGGTAGTGGCCAGTTTTAAGCAGTGAAGCCAAAAGGACCAACCAACCACAAGTCCAGCCTTTCTCCAACTTGGTTCCCCCCCCGCCAGATGTTGCTAGACTCAAGTTCACCTCATCATCTCCCCTGACCCTTGGCTGTACTGGCTGTTGGAGCGACTGGGGGACAAGAGGAACAACAGCTGGGGGCACCAGTTTGGGAAGGCACCCCAACTTCCTTGTGGGGCAACCCCCTCTCCATCTCCGATTGCCACTGCTACCCTCATTTCTGCCTACGAGGTGCCCCCCAGGGTCCCTCGATGCTGTGCCCCCCAAGCCCTCTGCCCCCCAGAGCAACTCACAGGAGGCTCGGTCGCCATTGGTCCGGGGATTGATCTCTGCTTTGTTTTGTCTGCCCTTTGTCCCTGTGATCTCCTCCATGCGGTAAATCTCTGACAGGCAGAGCCTGGGGTTGAAGGCAAAGTACATCTTGCCGACGGGGATGGAGAGGCTGTGGTGGCTCCAGTCCCAGAGCTGCTGGAGGTTCTGGTTGTCCAGCACGTAGAGCGTGTAGTTCCTGGAGGCAAAACGGAGTCGGGTGTTTTACAGCCTGCCCTGCCGGGGGGGGGGGGAGCCGTGCCCTTGCCCATGACTCACCCGTCCACCATGGAGTCCCCTCGGATGAGCTTGAGGTTCTTGAGGAAGGACAAAGAGATGAGGGCAAAGGAGTGCTTGATCTTCAGAAAGCCTGTGATGGTCTCAATCAGACCTAGGCTGCCCTGCAGGGCGGAGGCCAGGTTATCTGTGGGAAGGGAGAAGCAGCTTTGAGGCTTTTTGCATCTTTGAAATGATTGCCTGGTGCTGCGCTGTGTTCTTTCTTCAAGCACTTTATGCTTTTCAACACACATTTCTTTTACTCTTTTAAAAACCTGTCCCAAGAAAGGGGAGGTGGCTTCCTAACTGGCATGATTAATAATAATAATAATAATAATAATAATACCTTTATTTTCAATGTACAACCTGTGTACAATGAAATTAACCGAGCCTCCTCCCCCCCCAAACACTCAATCTCATTGCACTCTGTGCTTGTTGCACAACACACCAACCCCGAAAGTCAGTTGCACTATATTATTTTCCATTCAGCAGCCTAACAGCCCATGGATAGAAACTGTTTTTTAGCCTGTTGGCATGACTGATTATACTTTATCTCCTGCCTGAGGGTAGAAGATTAAAGAGGTGCTGGCCGGGGTGTGAATCGTCCCTGAGAATTTTTCCCGCTCTCCTAAGGCCACGATCCCTTGCGATGTCATCTAGCGGGCTCAGGGGACAGCCCATGATATCATGTACTGTGTTCACCACCCTCTGTAGAGACTTTCGTCCGTGGCTGTCAAGCCAACGTACCACACTGTGATACAATATAAGAGGACACTTTCTTTTGTGGAAGGTCATCAATTGTTGTTTAACATTGTTCTTTTGCAAGACCCTGAGGAAGTGGAGTCTCTGTTGGGCCTTCCTAACCACCTGAGTTACATTGCTTTTCCAAGTGAGGTCTTCACTAAGGTAAACTCCCAGGAATTTAAAGGAAGAGACTCTCTCCACACAACCACCCCTGATATACAACGGGGCAGATTCCCCTCTCTTCCTCCGAAAGTCCAACACCATCTCCTTTGTCTTGCTAATATTTAGGTGTAAGTTATTCTCTAGGCACCATGTAGATACTTTTTGACGCCCCCCCCCCCGTATGCTGATTCATCTCCACCTGTAATTAGACCGATTATGGTAGTATCATCTGAAAACTTAATAATTACAGTGGATGGATCAGATGAAATACAGTCATATGTATACAAGTACAGGAAGGGACTCAGCATACATCCCTTTGGGGTGCCAGTGTTGAGCTTCGGGGTCCTTAAATGATCCTTCAGCTGCAAAGGAAAAGAATATAGACCCCCCCCCCCAGTTAAATCTGATGAAATCTGAATGCATGGCAGCTCACTCCTCAAGTCATCCCTCTAAAGAGTCAGTCCCTCAGTGGGGAGAGGCCAGACCTCCCTCCCTGGAGCTCCCAGCACCCTGGGCCACAGCCACTCACCTCCCCGGCGGATGTTGAGGATGAGGTTGCCCTCGATGAGGGTGCAGCCAGCCAGGTCCCTGGCTGCCCTTGTGGAGTCAATGGTCTTGGTGCCCACTTTGCATTCCTTTGGGCAAAGCCCCTCACACTTGTGGCAGAAGATGCTGAAAGAAGGGGGTTGGGGGAGAGACCTGGGGATGACGCACCCACAACGCAGGGAGAGGCTTCTCTCCATCCCTCACCCCTCAGAAGCACCTTCCCCCAAAGAATCCCTCAGCCCCCTTAGCAAACTGCAGTTCCTGTTACTATTTGTAATGTAATTTCATTGGACCTGCATTTCACAAAGACGAAATGGTAATGGGGAAAGGAGGTGGCAGATGGCAACTGGCAGTTGGGAGTTGGCGGGTTCTCTCTGAGAGTTCTGTCTTGACTGGGAAGGTGAGGAGGGAGGGGACTTCTGGCAGACACGGTCTGCAGGAGTCTGTAAATAATACTTGTGGTTCAACTGTAGCCAACCTGTCAAGTAAAAAGATTTATCTTCAGCTATCTGCATAAGGCATATATTTTTTATCACAAATAGCTAACAGTTCCCAGGATTTCTTTGACAGACATGAATGTCTTTTAAATGGATAGCAGGGCAGCAACAGCAACCACAAAGAACCAACTTTGGGTTCATGCTCACACCCTTTCATTCTCTCACACAGTATCAGCCAGACACAGTATCTCACACAGCAGGCAGGATCAGGGCAGGACCCAGACGGTGCACATTTCCTATCCCTGGCCATGTGAGTTTGTGTGTGACCTGTACTTGTTCTTAGGATGAATGGATGGGAAATGAGATTCTGATTCAACATTAGGAAGAACTTTCTGATGACAGGAGCTCTTTGAAAGTGGAACGGGCTCCCTCAGAAGCTGGTGGACTCTGCTTCAGTGGAAGTAGTCAGACACACACTCTGGACTTTAAGATGTCAGTTTCGAAAACCTGAAGGAGCTACTGGATGTGATCCTGTGGTCAGATATACTAAATGAGAAGGGAGTCCAAGTAGGATGGGAGTTTCTAAAAGGAGAAATATTGAGGCCCCCAAGGAAACCGGTGTGGCTGCATAAGGAGCTTTCAGATGAGCTGAGAGTTAAGAAGAGCATGTATACAAAATGGAAGCAAGGGGAAATCACAAAGGAAGAGTATACATGTGAAGCCAACAGTTGCAGGGAGAAGGTCAGGAAGGCTAAAGCTCAGAATGAGCTCAGGCTTGCAAGAGAGGTTGAAAATAATTTTAAAAGGTTTCTTTGGCTATGTCCGATTTAGAGGAAGAACAAGCAAGTGATAAATGTGGGTTGAATGAGGAAACTGTCAGGTGGATTTTTAGCTAGTGGATTGACCGAACCCAAAGAGTACTCATTAATGGTTTGTCATCATCCTGGAAAAAAGTGACAAGTGGGGTGCCGCAGGGTTCTGTCCTGGGCCCGTTGTTGTTTAACATCTTTATAAATGACTTGGTTGAAGGAATTGAGGGGAAGCTCATCAAATTTGCAAATGACACCAAACTGGGATGGGTAGCTAATGCCACAGAAGACAGAATCAGAATTCAAAATGACCTTATCAGATTGGAGAATTGGGTGCAAGCTAAAGACAATAGGGACAAATGTCAGATTCTGCACTTAGGCAAGAAGAACCAGATACACAAATATAGGATGGGGAGCCCCTGGCTTACTAGCAGTAGATGTGAAAAGACTTCCAGGGTGGCGCCATCGGTAATGGAGGATTCCCTCTGACTTGGAGGGAACCGGCTCTGCGGAAATCGGGTCTGCACCGCTACGGCAAAGCGGGGACCCTTCAAAAATCACAGGTGGGTGAAGCCTGTGACCGTGGGACTTGGCGGGCACCTTTTGCGCCCCCCCAACTGGCAAAGGAGTCCGATTACGGGCCCCGGAGTGGAGCGGGGAAGTGGCACAGTGCTGTGAGTCATCTGCTTCTTCTGTGGAGCGAAGCCGCGTAGCCGTTGCCGGAGAGCGCTACCTTTTTCCTGGGACAATTTGGCTGTAAAACAACGATCCGTGAGTAGGCTAATTTCGGAACTAAAGGAACTTTATAAATTATTTGGCACCGAAGCGGAGAGGCATAAACAGGAAGTCTGCCTTCCATTCTTGTAAATGGAGTAAAGCAATGAACTTGTAAGCGGAAACCTTAAAAGACGTTGGAAAAGGATTATAATTCGAACATCAAACAAGCGATTTCCCCCCCTTGATTGCAGGGGAGGAGGGGGGAAAGGTCTGAACTGTATTTCCCTGCAAAAAAGAGAGGAAAAGAAGCTAAAATCCACCGCTTAAAACCCTGGAACGGGTTCCCAGTGAATAGTAAGAAAGCTGTATTGTGAAATGTGCTGTTGCTGAAAGTACTTTTTGACAGTTAACTCTGCATCTGAGATACAAGTAAGATACAATATTTCTGACTGGCTTCTCCTGGTTTTAAAGTAACAGGAAACAACTGAGATTGAAACTGTTGTCCTTTTTGTGAATTGGGGGGCGAAAGGAAAAAGTTAATTACTTTAAGACATTTTTGACTGCTACTGTGTCCCCCTAGAGGAAGTTTGAAATTGTTACAATAGCAGCTGGGCCAAGGGAATTTTCCACTTCAAAACAAACTCTGATCGTGAGATTGACCTTGGGCTTTATCTTGAGGGTTATGGCAGATGGGAAGGAGAAGATAGATTTGTTACAAGCAACGAGGTCTGGCAGACTAATTCGCACAGACGGTGGGCTGCAAAGAAGAGCATCGACATCTGGCCCTTCTGGTTTACCAACAGCAACCTCATCGGCACAACCTAAACCTAAAGGTATGGCAGCTGACGATGCCCTGGCTCAGGCACTAGGTAAAATTAACGAATCTTTGGAAAGAATAAGTAAACAAGTAGCTGAGGCATCGGGCAAAATTGACCAAAACACTACAAGTATTAATAATTTGGGACAGAAGGTGAATACCAATACAGAAACTATTCAGAAATTACTACAGGAATCCACCTCGACACGAAAGACAGCCAAAGAGGCAAAGGAAATAGCAACTGCTACAGCCACTGTTGTAGAAGAGAAGATACCACCGATACACAAACAACTTGAAGACCACAGGTCAATATTGTCTATGATTGAGTTGAAGGAGAAACAAAAGAATTTAAGGATCAGGGCCGTACCCGAACTTGAGAAAGACAATTTGATTGAATTTCTTACGCAGGAATTTGCAGACTTTTGGAACCCAGATTTGGAGAAGGATAGTTTCAAGATAGTGAGTGCCTTCAGGCTTGGAAGAGGAGGGAGGAAGAACAGGGTGAGAGACTGTTTGATCACCCTCCGAACAAAAGAGGAGAGAGACAAAATCTTGAGCCTGCACTTCCAGAAGACCTTGGAAATACATCAGTCAAAGGTGGAGATATTTAAGGATATTCCGAAGCATCTTTTGGACCTTAGGTCCAATTATAGAGATTTGGTTGCCCTGTTGAGAAGTAACGGGATTTAGGTGGGAATTCCCCCAAGGCCTATCCTTTAGTTACAAAGGGAAGAAGATAAAAATAAGATCAGAGGACGACAAAGATAAATTTTGGAGAGACCACGGAGAAGACCTGCAGAAGGAAGTTGCAGGAGAGTTGAGAGCACTTGTAAGTGAAACTTTAGACATACCAGGTCTACCTCCCGAACTAAAAGACCGCCTGAAGAAGGTGATACCACCAACAGAACAGGAACAGGCACTGGGTGCAGTTGGAGGAGAAGCAAAGTAACTACATCATGGCTCTGCAACTACTAAGTTGGAATTGTAATGGTTTGAACTCCCCTCAGAAAAGGAGATCTGTGTTTCATTTATTAAAAAAGGAACAATTGGACTTGATTTGTTTACAAGAAACACATATAACAAGGTTACACAGGAAATTATTGATTAATAAAAGACTTGGTCAGGAGTTTATTTCATCGGACAAGGTTAAAAAAGAGGGGTAGTGATTTATGCAAAGGAGAGATTATTACCGAAATTTATCTTTAAAGATGACCAAGGAAGATTTGTGGCAATTGAAATTCAAACACAAGGAGAAAAATTTTTGATAGTAGGAGTTTATGCACCAAATGAGGGGAAATCTGACTTTTTTAAAAAGTTGCATGAGACCTTGATGGACTATTTGGATTATAATGTGATTTTGATGGGAGACATGAATGGAGTGGTATCTACACACATGGACAAGGCACAAAGACAGGTAGTCACTAAAGATGGTAGACTACCGAAAACCTCTCCTGGGCATGGTCGGCCAAATGGTGCCAAAGAAGGACAGAACTTTCTTTATGTATGCCACAACAGCAGCAAGAATACTCACTGCAAAGTATTGGAAGACACAAGACCTACCCAATCTGGAAGAATGGCAGATGAAGGTGATGGACTACATGGAATTGGCGGAAATGACTGGCAGAATCCGAGACCAGGGAGAAGAGTCGGTGGAAGAAGATTGGAAGAAATTTAAAGACAATTTACAGAAATATTGTAAAATTAATGAATGTTAGAATGATGTTGGAATGAAGCTAGGTGGTTTAAGCAGTAATGTTATAAAGGTGTAGGTAAAAAAGGACTGATAACAGATGAAAATTTAAAGTTATAGTATATTAAGTTAAAGAATCATGAGAAAACACAGAGGGAAAGAAATTGCTGACTTAACTAATTGAACTGGAATACAAAAAAGGGAGGTATGAGGAGGTCAGGGAAACAAGGATATGAATCTAAGCTATGGAAAGATTGATCTATTTTTCTTTTTTTCTTTTTAAGTGTCTTTTACTCTTTTTTGTATTTTGTATTTTGTATTTTTACTTTTTGTTTTTGTGTAATTCTTGTATTTGCTGAAATTTTAATAAATATCATTTTTAAAAAAGAAAGAAAAGGATCTAGCGGTCTTGGTACCCCTAGCTTCACATGACTCAACAGTGTGATGCAGCAGCAAAAACAGCTAATGCTATTCTAGGCTGCATCAACAGAAGTATAGTGTCCAGATCAAGGGAAGTAATAATATCACTCTATTCTGCCTTGGTCAGACCACACTTGGAATACTGTGTTCAGTTCTGGGCACCACAATTTAGGAAAGATGTTGACAAGCTGGAAGGTGTGCAGAGGAGGGCAACCAAGAGGATCAAGAGTCTTTGAGGAACGGTTGAAGGAGCTGGGTAGGTTTATCCTGGAAAAGAGGAGATTGAGAGGAGACAGGAGAGCCATCTTCAAATACCTCAAGGGCTGTCACCTGGAGGAGGAAGCATGCTTGTTTTCTCCCACTCTGGAGGTTAGAACTCAAACCAATGGCTTCAAGTTGAAAGAAATAGATTCCAACTAAATATTTGGAAAAACTTTCTGACATTAAGAGCTGTTTAGCAGTGCAAAAGACTCCCACGAGAGTGGTGGACTCTCCTTCCTTGGAGGTTTTTAAACAGAGGTCGGATGGCCATCTGTCCTGGATGCTCCAGCTGAGATTCCTGCATTGCGGGGGGTTGGACTAGATGACTCTTGGGCTCCCTTCTGATTCTACAGTTCTATGATTCTGTGAAAACTGGGGCAAAAGTGTTTTAAGTGACCTGATCAGTCCAACCCTTGGCAGAACACAAATGAGCTCTGGGGCCCTTGAAAAGTGTGGGGCGGGCCGGCTGCCCCCTCACCTGCTCTCGTTCCTCTTGTACCCCGAGGGGCACTCCGACAGGCACTGCCTCTGGTGGATGACAAACTTGGAGGAGTCGCGGGGGTTCTCGGACACCTTGCGCAGGCTGGCGCAGTGCTCCGCGGTCACGCAGCGCCACCCCTCGTACTCGTAGGTCAGCTCCGGGCAGGAGCTCAGGCAGTGCCCGTTGAAGTAGAAGTGGCGGCAGGCGGTGCAGGCGTGGCTGTCTCCCGGGCGGCGGCAGCTCCCCAGGCACTCCCGGTGGCAGCACTCGGAGGAGCTGGTGCAGGCAGCACCCCCCGCTTTGCAGGGACACACTGCAGGGGGAGAAAGGGGGCGGAAGCTGGAGTGGGAGGCAAGAGCGGCACTGGGAGAGCTGCCCCTCAGCTTCTCATTTCCCCCCAATCTTCATTTCAGCTCCCCTTATTCCACACACACCCATGTCTGCAGATTTTTAAAAAGATCCACATGAAAATCACAGGTGCATTTTTGCACACATTTCACCCAATATATGTATTTTTGTACACAATTTTGCTTGTATGCCTCTTTGCAAACAATTCCCCCCTTAGCCTGTTCATTTTTTGTATATTTCCACTGATACACAAATTTTTGTGTGTATATTTCACTAATACAGTAGACCAGCAAATTATGTGCAGTTAACTTGTGTGCATTCAAAAAAATTTGAAAGGGAGCAGAAAGACCCGACATTGCACCCAATGTGTTTTGACTATACATTATGTTTGCTTTATTTGCTATCTCTAATGTAACCTCTGTGTGAGTTGCAAGTCTACTGCAATGGAGGAGTGAGAATTTCGAAAAGCAAGCTGAGTTTTATGGCTATTGGTTTAGTTGAGACCCTGGCCCTGGCCCAGTGTCCATATGACTGACTTCCATTCTCTCTTATGCTTTGTTTTAGTAATATTCTATTATGCCACCTTGGAAAAACATTTCTAATTTGAAAGGTGCCCTAGAAGTTGGGGCCGGCCCACCCATGAGACAAGGAGAGGTGAATGCCTCAGGCGGCAGGATGCACAAGGGCAGCAGAACACAATGTAGTGCTTTATCTCCTGCCTTGTTTCTGATGTCATCAGCATATAAACTGATAGTAAACTCTGCCCTGTCTTAACACTTTTTAGTATTTCAAATCCTAAACCTTCAGCTAACAGCTCTGTGGAAACAGCAGACAGCAAGGCAGAAGCAGGCAACCTCGCCAGGCATAATTTAAGCTAGTTGCCTCCATTTACTGGCACATAGACATTTGGTTTTGTATGGATCATCCTAATTCATACCACAGACTGACCTCCCAATCTGTACCAGTCTGTTAATGAGTTAATGAATCAGAGGAGCCCTCCTGGCCCAGGCACAAAGGCCTCTTTCACCCTCTCCGCTGCCCTAGAGATGGTCCAGTCCAGCAGGAGGTTGGTCAGGTGGTGCTGGACAGTGATGCAGAAGGGGAAATCTCAGCTGCAACTCTTGAGACACCACACATCTACACAGCAGTCCTGAGAGACACAGCAAGACAAGAGGAGGCCAAAGGCCCGTCCAAGAGGGAGAGCGCAAGGCAGCTGGAGGAGGCAGTTGCATGCGCACGATAACGATCTGCCTGTTTGCAGTGTATATTTCATTAGCAGCTCTCTTGTTGACAGCAAACAAGTCCAGGAGACTCACATACTTTTATGAGAGTTTCACAACGGTGAGACAGGGCTGCAGCTGATGGGGGGAGGTCTCCCCCAAAGGACAACGCAAAGGAGACCAGGAGGGCTGATTCTAAAGAAGTAGCTCTTCTCAGGTCACTTACTAGATACTCCACTGGCCTAAGCTTGCTGCCTTTCCAAAGACAAGTTTATCCCACACAGAATAGATTCCACAGATCAGCTGGGGTACTGCTCTGCCACTTGGCAGCCCAGAGCATTTCTCTGAGGAATCCTGAAGGAGCCTGAAAGGGTCCAAAACTCGCCAAGGTGATGCTGGGAACGCTGGACCAGCAGCAGAGAAAGAGCCTGTGGGATCAGACCAAAGGGGGCCCTTTCAGGGCAGCACCCTGTTCTCACAGCGGCCCCCCAGGTGCCTTTGGGAGCCCACAAGCAGAACCTGGAAGCAACAGCAATCCCCCCCCAACTCCCAGTGACTGGTATTATTCAGAGGCACACGGTTTCCAGAATACCCATCACGGTTGAAGCCTAAGGCCAAGCTAGGAGTCATCACAGGGCCTTTTCAGTGGCTGCTCCCAGATTCTGCAATTCCCTCCCTGGAGAAGCCACACTGGCTCCCTCTTTGCCGTCCTTCCACCGGCAGGCAAAGACTTTCCTTTTCAACCGTGCTTTTGGGAACAGACTGCTTTTAATGAAATGGCTGGGGCCATGTTGTTGTATTGTAATTATTTCCACAGGTGACAATTGTTTGGGGAGTGTCCAACTGATGCGCAATCACCAATGTGCAGATCCTTTTGGAACTGGAAGAGGGCAGAATGGGGGGCAGGACGGGGCATGCATAGACATGCTCTGCCAACGCATGCAGGGGCCGGGAACAAAACCCTCGTGCGAAATGGTTGCCGCCTATATGTTTTAAACAGATTTTATATACGTAAATAGTTTTAATTCGATCCATGTTTTTTTAAAAAATATTGTTGCTTTTGATTGTTTTTATCTGTAAACTGCCTTGAGCCCCATTAGGGGGAAAGGTGGGGTATAAACAAATGTGTTGTCGTCGTCATCACTACTTCCTGTGGGAAATGAACAGAACTGGGGATCTGTCCTTCTGCGGTGGCATTTTTTAAAAACCAGGCGCTAGAGGGCAGGCGAGAAACGCAAGCACCCAGCAGGGAAACTAATGACATCACCAGAGTACCTAACCTGCTCACCTCATGCCTCCAATTTTGGAGAGCTCCTAAAAATAGGCCACAAAGGAATTAAAAAGTAAAGCACCTGTTTCCTAATAATAGTTCCTCTGTGTAAACACAGGAAAGAACAAAGTTTATTGGGTCCTTGTTTTGAGGAGACTTATGCAGAAGCTCCCAGGCCGGATCATACTAGCCACACCCGTGTGTCTCCAGGCAAATAGCCAGCCAGGCTCCCAAGATAGCCGTGCCGGCAGAATGAGCCGTGAGCCAAGCCAGGGAGGAACGTCAGTGTGTAAGGAGAGAGGGAAGGGGGCCCTCCCAGCTCAGGCAGCGGCAGCCTGAAAGGAAGGGGTTAAAAGGACACAGGCATGGCTTTTGTAGAGCCTGGCTGCAGCTGGATCAGGCCCAAAGGGGCTCATCTAGCTCGGCATTCTGTCCCACAGGGGTCAAGCAGATCATAAGAACTCAGAAGAGCCTGCTGGATCCGGCCAAGGGCTCCTCTAGCCCAGCATCCTGTTCTCCCAGGGGCCAAACATTTTCCTGTGGGAAGGCAGCAAGCAGGACCCGAGCGCAAGAGCCCTCCGCCCTCCTGTGGCTTCCAGCACCTGATATTCAGAAGAGCAGAGGCATCATGGCAAGAAGGCAGCGGCAGCCATCTCACTTGAGAGCCACAGCAGGACCTGTGCTCTCAAAACCCAGCATTATTCACAGCAGCCATTGACCACCTTGTCCTCCATGAATTTGTCTAATCCCCTCTTAAAGCCACAGCAACCTCACCCCACCGTGCCTTGCTTGGTCCTGATTCTCCACTGCCCTCGGCAACAACTGTTGGATTTGTGGCTGATGGACTATAAATAAATTATATTTGGGTTCGGATTAGCTGTTGTTTTTGCTGTTCTCGTGCCAAGGAACTCTTTCTGAAGCACAGTGGGAATCAAGTGACCCATAAAGCCCTTCTGCTCCCTTGCGAAGCTCAGCCACTCACAAGCCCCTCGCAAGGCCACTGCAGGCACCACACGCCCAGAGTGGACCTGGGTCAACCCACCTTTCTGGCAGTTGCTGGAGGTCCAGCAGCGATACTCCAGCTGCCCCTTGAGGCTGGTCTGGGTCTGGACACAGGGCTTCTCCACGTCCAGAATGCCCGGGCACACGTCAGCACACTCCTCCGCGGGCTTGTTGTGCAAGATGATGTTTTGCTCCAGGGCGTGGGGGGTCTGCATCAGTCCCCAGTCGATGGTGGAGATGTGGCAGAGCTCCTGGTTGCGCTCGATGCGCACGGAGCCGTTCAGGATGTTGGTCAGGCTGTGCAGGCCGATGTCACGCAGGTGCGGCATTTCAAAGATGACCAGGGCGTAGTTGAAGAAAAGACTGGTCCCCCGGATGACCGACAGGTTGGGGAAGAGGTCGCGCAAGCTCTCCAGCCCATAGACGCGGAAGAGCAGGAGGTACTCCGTGATCATGACCAGGCGGGGGAAGCTGAAGGGGTGGAAATCCTCGCTGCTGGTGGTGAACAAGAGGAGGATCTGCAGGTTGCCCTCGATGATGGTGCAGTTCTCCAGATTCCGCAGCTGGGAGACATCGACGCGGATATCCATGCTCTCGCAGACTGGAGAAATGGGGAATGGCAGGGAAAGAAAATGAGTCACCAGGACATGAAGAACAGCTCATGCTCTTCACCTCCCGCACCGTTCCAGCACACAGGACTCTCTTCAGACTGCAGCATTTGACCCACACAAACACCCCTCAGGCTCCAGACTCATGGAGTTGGAAGGGAGCCCCAGGGTCATCTAGTCCAGCCCCCTGCAATGCAGGAATCTCAACATTCTTGCACCACCTGTTTGTGTGAATGGCCCAGGAGGAGAGGCTGCTCTTTCCAACCTCCTCAGAGGGCCTCTGCCTGACACAGGGAGCCTCTGTCTGTCTGAACAGCCAGAAGAAGACAGGATGGACAGACCTCTCAAATTTGCTTTCCCATTTTCCCAATCTTACATTCAGCTCACCCCATTTCCACAACAGTTCTTAAGCCCTCGTGAAAACCCGCCAGCACTTTATTTATTTAGAAAAGTATTTATATGCTGCCAACTCAGCTGGCCACAACAGGGGGCAGATGAAATGTATATCTCACCATTAAAAAGCAGGACAAAACAATCATTAAAAGCACCGTACTAAACTCTCCTAGTTTCCCCCGATGCTGCATTTTATGTTATTTTCACTAATACATAACAGCTTATGCACTCTGTTCTAGGTTTGTGGGTGCCAAACCCCTCTTATCCTTGGATCCAGCAAGTGTTAAAGCTAAGCCAGGCAAGCTCCCTGTTGAAGTGACTGACTGGGTGATGGGCCATTAAGAGAACAAAGGAAAGGGGGCTCTGCGCCAGACAATAAGTGGGTGGGGGCCCTACTTCAACTCTCAGATAGCTAGAAGGACAAAGCCTGAGTTTTACAGCAGAGTTTGCTATGGTGTGAGCTAGAAGTAAAGCAGCAAGGAGAGGCTCAGAAAGCAGTGTTTGATTTCTGATGGAATCCAAGGCTGTGACTGTGGGAGAAAAAGAAGCAAGACCTATTGGGGGTTTGGAGCCCCTCCTGTGTGGGCTCAGTTTGTATATATGTGTAAATAAACCACACATCATAAAGACACCGCAGTCTCCTGTGTGCCTCATTCCAAAGGGAAACACGAACTCTGGGAAACCATCCAAAACCCCTGGGATCTCTCAGCGCTCAGAGATTGGGGTGGCCTGAAACAAGACAGTGCAGTATGCGCTTTTGAAAACAGAACAGGAATTACAAGGAAAAGAGACGGCAAAAGACGCCACATTGCTCCTCTCCCCACACCCTCCACTAGGGAGAGACCCAAGACCCCTGCTGGGACAGACACCCCATTTTCAACACCCGTCTTGTTGCTCCTGATGGAAGGGAAAACCCTCCTCCCAGACCCTGAAGCAGCTTGGCTTATGGATCCATTCTCTTGTCACAGTGGCCAAGCAGGACACATTGAACAGAAAAGTAAAACAATACTATAGTAAAACAACAACAACCCTACAAGAAGCTTTAAAATAAGCTTTATCCCACGTGTCCTCTGAATTGCTTTGCTCGGCAGAATTGGCACCACTACAAGGGCCACGCAGTAGCCGTTCTGCATTTACGGGGTTCTTGGTTTGTTCTTGTTCTTGTTTTTATTATATATTTTGTGTTTTTATCTTGTATTTTTATACTGTGAACTACCATGAGAATTATGGAGGAAGGGCAGTATACAAATTTAATATGAATGAATAAATGAACCAGGTCATTTAGGGTGGCACCAACACTTTGGAACTCCCTGCCTATTGAGATCAAGCAGGTGGCTCTGCTGGACTCTTTTTGGCTCCTGCTAAAAAATTGCTTGGACAAGCCTACCCAGATGCTTAGAAATGCTGCTGGGAATTTTTTAATCTGTTTTAGAATTTTAACTTCTTGCATGTTCTAAGTATTGGAAATCTTTCTTAATTTTCTCATTTAATCATTTTGTAAACCACTCTGAGGTTCTGTTTTTTTCCTTTTTTTGCAATCAATATTGTTATTATTAATGCTTTATATTGTTGTAAATTGCTAAGAGGTGGGGGGTGGAGGTTATACAGTGGTACCTCGGGTTACAGACGCTTCAGGTTACAGACTCTACTAACCCAGAAATAGTACTTTGGGTTAAGAACTTTGCTTCAGGATGAGAACAGAAATCGCACGGCGGTGGCGGCAGCAGGTGCAGCGGGAGGCCCCATTAGCTAAAGTGGTACCTCAGGTTAAGAACAGTTTCAGGTTAAGAACGGACCTCCAGAACAAATTAAGTTCTTAACCCGAGGTACCACTGTTTTTAAAAAATCAAGTGGTGCTTTTATTTACGGTAAGTACTGTACGCAGTCTGATCCCAGTGATGCCTGACAGTTGAAGCAGTTTCTCTGAAATGCACTGGGTCTTCATAAAGTGATTTATTATGAATTTTGGGTGTTTAAGAAGGTTTATTATAGACAGTGGTACCTCAGCTTAAGAACTTAATTCATTCTGGAGGTCCGTTCTTAACCTGAAACTGTTCTTAACCTGAAGCACCACTTTAGCTAATGGGGCTGCCGCTACGCGATTTCTGCTCTCATCCTGTAACCCGAGGTACCACTGTATATATATATATATAAGGAAATCTTACTTTCACTCTGAGGTTTGCCATCCGCTCCCCTTGGCGCTCTGCAAGGCAGAGGTGGGCCTTGTGGGAATCCTGGCTTGGCTCTTGTCGGCCTGGCTGCACACTGTGGATCTGCTGCAAATGCACACCTGCTCCTGTCCTCTGCAGCAGCCTTCGGGCCCCTGGCAGTGGCTGCCTTTCCAGGCCTTGGGCCGGATCCGGCAGCAGCAGCCAGGCTCCCTGGTGTTGGGCGAGAGGCTGGTCCCAGTCTCTCCCCAGAGAAAGGCGGAAAGGAAGGAAGAGAGGAAGGGCACTACAGAAGGAGGCCTGGCATCAGCCCAGCTCTAATCTCTGTCCCCGGATGCCAGTATTTACTTGTTGGTGGGGGCAGGCCCTCAGAGGTCATTTTCATTACCTCCTCCTGGGCAACATGAACAGCAAGGCAAAGAGACACAGCTGCCTGCTTCCCACCACTGGTAAATTTCATCATGGCAGCTGCCACAGCCATGCCCAGAAGGAGACTCCAAGAGCTTGTGTTGATCCACTTTCCAGAAAAACTGGCCCCTGGGTTTGTTACCTCCTCCTCCCTCCCCAGCCACTTTCCTTTGGTGTCATGGCTTTTAAGATGGTAGAGAACTGCAAGCTGCTCTGGGCCCTTCTGGGGCTGGAAAGTGGGATTTAAAAAATATTTAAATGGGATATCACCGTATATACTCTCTTCCCCTCCAACAGCAGCTGTATGCAGTTTGTTAGCATCAGCCCACAGCTGTAGGCTAAAGTCAGGCCCCAGAGTCGGGAGCAGGTCAGCAATAAAACACCCGGTGTGAGTGAAGTTGGCTCTTTATTCAAAGAAACCAAAACAGTGCAGGCCTAGAGATCACAGCAACTCTTCCCCATAGACCTTGCCCCAATGCGGCCGTTGAGAGGACTGCCCACCACTCTGCAAGGCTCCTTCCACAAATTAAGCCAGGGACCTTCTGCATGCAAAGCCTGGACTCTGTCCCACCGACCACAGCCGCCCACTAAAAATAAAGCAAGGTGACACTCCTCAAAGTTTCCATTTAAGTAGAAACATAAAATGTTGCTTTTTACCTAGATCTATTTGCTTAACATTGTCTGCACTGACCGGCAGCTGCTCCACGAGGTTTCAGAAACAGGAGGCATTCCCAGACCATCCTGAAAACGCCAGGAATTGAACCTGATGCCTCCTGTGTCCAGATCATGTGCTCTGCTGCCAAGCATTTGAACTGGTGGCTCTTTGAACTCTCCCTGAAAAAGCTCCCCAGTTGCTTTGCTGTCCAGACGACTACGAGTGGCTGGAAAATGAATGGTCCTGAAAGGGGCTTCCTGGCTTCCTGGCGACGGGACTGCAGCTTCCCAAGTGCTCAGCTTCCATCTTTCACAAAAGGAGAATCTGGCACCTGCCCAAACTTGCTGCTTCCTTTCTCCGGCTAATGGTGTGTTTGTGGTACATGGACAAAGGCAAGCAGCCTTACAGTGCTCAGCAAAGGCACAAGAGGAGCAGCCCAGAGAGATGTGGAGGAGAAGGCGCTGCGCTCAGGCATCATGTCCAGGGGAAAAAGCCCTGTTTGATCACCTGTTTAAACAGTTCCGTTTCTGTTCCGGAAGGTCTGAATAGCCGCGGGTAATATTTGCTCACAGTATTTTGATATCTCAGTGTTTGCTAAGTATGACAAAACACTCACTGGGGGGGGGGGGGGCTGTGAGGAGAACTGAGGAGGGATCCTCCAGCTTTGCTTGTCAAAATGGCAAGGGAAGGGTGGTGCTTGGGAGGTGAGGGGCCATTTTGAAAGAGCTACCTGCCCACCTGGCACACACGGGGGCTTGAGGCGCTCTTGGCCCTGAACTGGAGCAAGTCAGCAAGGCCTCAGGACTGGCTGCAAATCGTCTGCCCCAGGTGGTAGTGGGGGCGGTCAAAAGATGCTGCCCCATCCCCAGTAGGCACCACCAGTGCTATTTTTCTAGAAAAAAGAGGTGCTGGAACTCACCATGCGCCCCTCTCTTGTTCTCTTAGAATGGCAAATGGCGCCCACCTGAGAGGTGCCAGAACAGAGTTCTGGCTGACAAAAAGCCCTGGTCACCACCCCCTTCGTGTAAAAGGCTTCCCCAGGAACGTGCAGAAATAGACAACCTGCTCAGAAGTCCGTCCCCCCCATGGCCGCAAAGGGCAGCAAAGGAGACCCTGTCTTGGCGTGGCTCCGCTGCTGCTGCTGCTGCCCATGCTCCTCTCTCATGGTGTGTGTATGTGAAACCTGAAGCCAAATTATCACCTCCAGAGCAACGTTTCAGTCCAAACTGACATTTACTATAAACACCGGGGCTAAATTCTGTAAACGCAAACTTCAAACCCCAAACACTCCACCTGGCAACAAGAGAGGATCAGCCTGGTGCTCTCAGGAGGCACAAGGGAAGGGGAGCGAAGGGGGGCCCAGCTCCCCTCAGAGACCACCAGGCACCAGCCGGGACTCTGGCTTGCCCAGGGAGCCGGGAGAAAGATGGCTGGACAAGGCAAGCTCATGCCTAGAACAGAGGCACTCGCTTGGCACAGTGGACTAGAAGCCGCAACCACCTCTCTTCAGATGTGGGTTTTTGTGAGTGACAGGAGCTCAGCAGTGGAACAGCTGCTTGGCATGCAGAAGGTCCCAGGTCCGATTCTCTCTGGCATTGCCAGGCAGAGCTGGGAGAGGACCCTGAGTGTGAAGCCCTGGAAAGCCACGGCCACAAAGCGTAGACAGTACTGAACCAGGCAGACCAGTGGTCTGACTCGGAAGAAGGCAGCCTTCTCCCTATGCAGGGGTGCCTGTGATCTGATAAAGACTATCATGACGCTGGTTGACCAGCTACAGAGAGTCCACAGCTTTGTCCTCCCAACGCCTCAGCACCAGCCGCCTCACGCTGCCTAAGGGTAGGGCAAGGTTTTCAGCCAGCTTTCTCAGTTAAACACCACCATCCCAGTGGGCTGGTGGGGACGGGGTGGGGGCTTCTCCTTAGCTAAAATTGTAGTGCTTCGAGTGAAAAAAGATTTAGAAATTTGGTCAAATTTGAGGCTTTCACTGCTAGGCCGTATTGCTGCGATAAAAATGAATGTATTGCCTAGAATGTTATTTTTGTTTCAAACATTGCAAATTTTGGACAAAATGGATTGTTTCAAGAAGTGGCAGAGAGATATCTCTAGATTTGTCTGGCAGGGCAAGAAGCCCAGAATAAAATTTAAAATACTAACGGATATAAAGGAAAGAGGTGGATTTGCCCTGCCAGACCTTAAACTTTATTATGAATCAGCAGCTTTTTGCTGGCTGAAAGAATGGCTGCTTCTTGAAAACACAGACATTTGGGACTTAGAAGGTTTTAATAATGTATTTGGTTGGCATGCATATTTGTGGTATGATAAGGTCAAAGCACATAAAGCATTTAAAAATCATATTCTCAGGAAAGCATTGTTTAATGTTTGGATAAGATATAAGGACCTACTGGAAAATAAAACCCCAAGGTGGCTGTCACTGATGGAAGCGAAGGCTCAGAAAAAGCTCAATATGGAGGCCAAATGGCCGAAATATTGGGAAATTCTGGAACAAGAGGGAGATAGATTGAAACTGCAGTTTTGAGAAACTAAAAAACAAAGTGCGAGATTGGCTTCATTACTATCAGATAATGGAGGCATACAATTTGGACAAGAAAATTGGCTTCCAGGTGGAAAAATCAAAATTAGAAACAGAACTGTTAGAACCCAAAACTAAGATTTTGTCAAAGATGTATAACTTGCTGTTGAAATGGAATACTCAGGATGAAACGGTGAAATCTGCTATGATTAAATGGGCACAAGATGTTGGACATAACATAATGATGGCTGACTGGGAACAGTTATGGACCACAGGTATGAAGTTTACGGCATGTAATGCCTTAAGAGAGAATATTATGAAAATGATATACAGGTGGTACATGACACCAGTCAAGCTTGCAAAAATCTACCATTTGCCCGATAATAAATGCTGGAAATGTAAAGAAACTGAAGGTACATTCTTTCACCTTTGGTGGACGTGCCCTAGGATTAAGGCTTTGTGGGAGATGATATATAATGAAATGAAAAAGGTATTTAAATATACCTTCTTGAAGAAACCAGAGGCCTTCCTCCTGGGCATAGTCGGCCAATTGGTGCCAAAGAAGGACAGAACTTTCTTTATGTATGCCACAACAGCAGCAAGAATACTTATTGCAAAGTACTGGAAGACACAAGATTTACCCACTCTGGAAGAATGGCAGATGAAGGTGATGGACTATATGGAACTGGCGGAAATGACTGGCAGAATCTGAGACCATGGAGAAGAGTCGGTGGAAGAAGATTGGAAGAAATTCAAAGACTATTTACAGAAATACTGCAAAATTAATGAATGTTAGAATGATGACAGAATGAAGTTAAGTGGTTTTAGCAGCAATGTTATAAAGATGTATATAAAAATGGATTGTTAACAGGTGAGAATTTAAAGTTATAATATATTAAGTTTAAGGATTAAGATAAAAACAAAGGGAAAGGAATTGCTGAATTAACTAATTGAACTGGAATACAAAAAAGGGAGGTGAGAGGAGGTCAGGGAAGCAAGGAAATGAAATGTAAGATATGAAAGATTGATTTGTTTTTAAGTGTTTTTTATCTTTTTTCTGTATTTGGTATTTTGTATTTTTTCTCTTTTTTATCTCTTTCTTTTTTTTCTTTTCTTTTTATCTATGTAATCTTTCTTTTCTTTTGAAACTTTAATAAATATCATTTATAATAAAAATTAAATTGTAGTGCTTGGGGCATGAGCTGCTTTGAGCTTTCCAAGGCAAAACTAGCACCATGTTAACAAAGGGAGGCCACCTGGGCAGCCTGGCGGGCAGATGCTGGCTAGACTCCAAGGTGATCCTCCTGGCCAGCTGGCCCCATTAGGGCGAGGGTCAGCCTCTTCCATGTCTCCATTCCTGCCTTTCCCACCTGGAGTTAGCTGGAAGCTGCCCCCCACCAACCCACAAAGACTCATCTCTGGTCTAGGGCTCTCCTGTTGCTGCCTCGAGAGTTGCCACCCAGGCCTCCTGCGACTCCCCTCCCTGCAGTCCTTTATGCCCCTGGAATCCAGCAAAGGGGCACAAGGAAGCGCCTTCTCCCCACCAACGGCTCTCTCAGGCAGCAGGATCTAGGGACAGAGGAAGCTGCCTTGCAACACGTCGGACCCAGTGCCAGATTTACAAAGAAGCTAAACAAGCTATAGCTTAGGGGCCCACTCTCTTGTGG